TTCAAACGTTTTGCCGCCATTCTTTCCAAGATTCATCTAAACTCGGGAAAAAAAAGGTTGCCGTCTTTCGGAAGCTTTTAGACAGTCCGAAACAAATTAAATTCATATCGCTTTGGCCTCCTGAAATCGTATCCAAAAATACCAAGCAATCATATCTTCGAATCTTAGGATTTTAAATTGCGCCTGCTTTGCACTAAACTCCGAGATGGCACGATCCACGACAAACTCGGAGAATGGAGTTCCAATACTCAATACGCAACATGTTTGGTTGGTCTAGTCCGCACAATACTGCGTAATGTTCACTTAATTCTGCTCAGCCCAGGCTCATATAAATAAATAGTAGTTTCACTAAGAGTGACAGAAAAAAAGAGACGCCATTTGAAAAACACAAAGTAGGCGGGGTCAGTAACCATTGTGTTGACTAATAAGAATGATAAATGTTTCTCCTATCAATTGTACCACACACTTTTTGCTTCAATATTCAAATAATGACAGGATCGTCTAGGGAGTTAAGGGTAATCATTTTCGGTTAAAATTTCTGAATGAAAATTTTACAAAATTCAACTAAAAGCACATATTAAAACCGTTTTGACGGGACTGTAGATCTTCGCCCTCCTACCTGGGAATTCCTCTACGGCAAAAAAAAAAAAGAAAGATCCTTCGATTAGCTCGGTGTAATAATGTATTTAAAGCGGAACATATGTCAGTTTCTGGAAGAGTTAGAGTGAGCAAGTGATTTCGCTTATTCACCTGTAGCTCCCCGTGAAGCAGCTGGTCACCTACCTTTACCAAGCACACCTTCAGGGATGATTGTAAGGCGCGACAAACGTCAAATGGTTTTAGGAGTTTGATGTCGTCAGACGATCATTCAAATCTGACCTTGCACCTTGTTCATTTTAACCACATAGGTAATTAAGTAATTTAGTGCCTTGCAGTTTCAATGCTAAATCAGTGCCGAGATCTGCTCTTCCCTAGCTTTCGTGGTACAAACTCCAGCATCATTATGCGTACATATCCCGACAGATGTTTCATTGCGGCGAAAACGGATGGATCCCTTTCAAACATTCGGTGCAAAGCGTAGTTATGATGTTAATGAGAAGTGTAGAAACCTTCATACAAGTGGGCGAGCAGAAGTGCTAGGTTATGCTTCGTTTTCATTTTTAAATGGAATGCAATTGCTTCACAACGTGTAGTATGATGTAGAAAAAGTTTAAAGTGATGAAATGAGTGAACGTACGAACTTTAATGGGTGAAATGAGCAAACATTAATTTAATGAAGTGAACGTCTTAAAGCAAGTGTTCCATCCATTGAAAACTGATGTGAGTTCACAGCACTCAGTACAGACAAAATTTCGTGTCATGTCAATAACGCATGGTGTGCCTGCTTTCGCAATAAAAAAAATTAAAAAAAAACACTTTCAGATACAGTCTTGGTGTAACTGCACTCTGCCCAAATAGAGTCGTGGCTGGTGCACATCTAATTCCAGGATTGCCTGCAACAAAAAGAACATAAATAAATGTATTAGTATAGCCACCACTTGAACCATATTGAACTTGAACAACGAACGGTGGTAGAAAAAAATAGCGATAAGTAAATACCGAATTTAAAAAAAAAGGTTGCTGTTGTTCATCAGTCTAACGATTCTGAACAAGGAGAAACTTCATCAGGAGAAAAAATATAATGAATTCTGGTGTTGAAAAATAATCGCAATCATATAACCATAAGTACGTGTTACAAAATACAGAATAAAATATAGGTTATTTAACGCAATGCTCTAACCTCATTGCCTGCTTTTATTTTGCACATGACTTCATATTTCATTAGGGGGTCGCCAGCGGCTGGCCGCTGGTTTATTTTCTTTTTTTTTCTGTTTTGCTTGGAGGTTTGCGTACCCTACATTTCGTCCCCTATTTCTTTCGGTCCATTTCAGTAGGAGAGAAAATAATGAAGGTATGTTCATAATTTTTGCACGAACATTCTTTCCATAATTCAGTACAGTCGAAATTTAGAAAATAAACACTACGAATCTTCGCACTTTGCACTTCGGACACTTACACAGGCATATTTTGCAGCACGGGGCATTTAGAATAATCAATGCATGCAGCGCATTATTATTGTTTCAATAATAAATTTCCGTCGACGACACTGACGAAAACCTTTATATATGAAGCTTAACTAGGCCCGGTGCCCCTTCGCGTGAAGGACATGGTCCGATATTATACTATAAACTATACAATATTAATTATATAAAACATAGGTGTTCATTGTATTATTTAATGAATTGATATTCAATCCGGAATATAGCAAAGCAGTTAATACGTGTAGGCTGGTTAGCAATAGACGTGAATTTCTGTTAGGTGAATGTGAAAAGACCTAGAATTCCCGTAGTCGAGTATTGATGACAGGTGGATTCGCGTTTGGTCATGTCCGAAAGACCTAGCAAGAAGAGCTGTAAACTACGCGCTTGGAAACAAACGACAACATAAGCGATTGCTATAAACCCTGGCTATTTGCGTGACGTTGCACATAAAGCCTACATTAAAGCGTCTTTTCTCGCGACCATACGACACACACAGCGTCAACCTTGCTGCACAACGAGAACGAGAAAATAAAATCGCCGTACACAAAACAGTTCAGTATAATAATAAAGGAAATGGGTAAGATATATTATCTTCTTTCACCTCTCAGCTGGATATTTTAGGGAAGCGGGGGAACAAAGACGCAAATTTCACTTTGCAACTGTGGTACTGGGAATTTATATGGTTGATCTGAGCAGCAGACTGCAGGATATAAAATCGTTGAGGCGTCCGAAAGTCCACGTAATCTGTTTTTAATCGAGTCTCGAATCTTAAGCTTAAGACTTAAGAGGGAAATAAAACAGATGACCGATATAGCCCAGTCCCTGAGCGAATCCTGCAGCTGTTGAGACAAAGTGAAAAATCTGTACATTTTACTGTCTCTAATTCATTGCTTGAGGGTAAATCCAATGTTTCTGCTTCAACTGGAATCAAGCTTACTTTTGAAACAATTAATTTTCTTTCTGGTTACATCTTAGGCAACACTAAATGGCTCCTTCGCAAGCCGGAGACGGCAACAACCCTTTCGCGCTCGTTGTTTGAGATAAGAGGGGAGCTCTCACCGAGGACGGAGGCGTCGCCGCCTTATTTGCAGGTTCAGTGGTGGACGGCGCAGTGTCGCATCACTGGGGCGCGTGTTATTCCACCCTACCCTCCTCGTTCACACCGCTTCGCGACGACAGTCTCCGGCGGCACATTACGAGGCGACACAAGCGGGCTGAGTTGGCTATAAATAGTTGGGCATAAAGAAAAGAGAAGCTAGTCTTGGCAGCGAATAGAAACCCCCAACACCGCATGGTAGAGCGATTAAAGCGGCTTGGGCAGCACCTCCTAGACTGCTTTAAAGCCTGTGCGTCACGGGACATGACGTCATGTTCTGGAGGCCTGCATGGGCGCTGATTGGGTGCGAGTTCCGCGTGAGCGTTCGCGTGGGACTCGTTTTCTGTCATAGCAATACGCGAACGCTGACGCGGCACTCGACTCCAATCAGCGCCCGTGCAGGCCTCCGGGAAGTGACGTCGTGTCACGTGACGCGCAGGCTTAAAAGCTGTCTAAGAGGTGCTGGCTCCGGTCCAAAACGTGAAGATAATGGCGTCGGTTCCCGATAGGGCCGCAAGCAACCAGCCGGCAACCCCCAATATCTCGAGGCGGCATCTGTGGGCCCGCTAAACACTGGCGCGCGCATTTGGGACTTGCGTCCAAAGAGGCCAATCATGGGCCCAAGATTTGCCCCCATGGTTTTACTTCGTGCGGAAGCAGCTATTCGCGACTCCAGCGAACTACGGGAGTCTCGCTTCTCAATCAAATCGGCGGACGAAAAAAGGTCGTTTTTGACGCTCAGCATGCGGGCCACCATAAAGCTCGTGCACTGAAGCATAAAATCAGTGTTACATATGGAAGCAAATCGATTTTTCGACCGTAGAAACCTTCTTCTAGTCAGTGCGTAGGTATGAGACGGCGGAAGTATGAAAGTAATTACTGGAACGATGTTTCTTTCTATGCTGCCTTCGAGTACCAAGCAGCGATACCAGACGACGCAGTCGCCAATACTCGGCCGGGGACCTGTCAAGCTGTTTGGCAGATTTGTTTTCCGGCGCCACCTTTTCTTAGCTGTTTAGAAAATAGACTTACTGTATTGTATTATATTTTACTCTGCCGAAATATGGACCTTCTTTTTTCTCTACTTCATAAAGTAACGCCAGTGGGATATCGAGGAGCGACATACACGAAGTAACGTCACAGCTCTTGAATGTCGTGTCCTATTGTTTATATTTTTTAGTCCAGCGATGTAGACGTAACTTTAACTGTGCATTGTTCATCCCTTAATTGTAGTCAATTTGTAAAATATTTCTTTGGATATATGGACTTGCCGAAATTAGACCCTGCCCCCCGAAGAAAAAATAACGACTTGCTTATGAAGGAGATTTATGGACTATTTTTATGGGTACGATTTCAGGAACGTGTCATCGACTGGTGTGTTTGGCGTGCTCTCCCGCCAATGCATCCCAGTGATACCAAAGTGGAAACAAATTGCCTCAAATCGACTGCGTGTCGTGTTCATGGACGTCACAATCCTGGTGGTATCTCATAGAGCAGAAAACATAACAAAACACAAGGAACGCTGTCGTCAAGGCGTTCCATTTTGTGCCTGCCTCTTTCTGTAAGCTCTCAAGCTGCAGAGTGACCTACAACAGAGCAGGCGTCGACCACATCCCCTTCGACTACTATGTTACCGCCAGGATCGCAGCAGGCAACACCATGACACGTTCATGACATCACCATGCGGCAATAGAGACCATTTTTGATGGCGCCGGAAACACGCCAGTCAAAGACGCGCTCCAGGTATCACACTAGGTGTTGGTGTCTATTCACAAATTGGAAAAGTTACTCACAAACGCAATGGCATCATACGTAGTCAGCGGCACCGTCTTGATATACACATCGTATGGGTTTCCTTCATGATGATGTTATGAGCTCCGTCAGCTTAGGTATAAACCTGGAATAGATATTCACGAAACATGAAAAGCTTTTCAATTTTCAGGTAGTATCCGCGGAATAAATTGCTCGCATGCAGTGTCAGCTCGACAAAGAAACAACTTTGAATGCCGCTTGAACAAAATAGCTATGCAGTCTCGCATTTCATTAAAAAGCGTCATAGTTTGGCCTTAAAAGGAAGAAAAATCTTATATCATGAACATTCCCAACTTGGAATAGTTGTGGAGAGAAATAAGTCACAATGAAATTTGTGAGAAACGATGAAATAAATGTAGGCTCTTCTCCCCAAATATGACGGCATGGAACTAACATTGCTGTTTGTCGTTGCTTTCGCCACTTTTTATGACGCTCTGCATTAATTGTAACTGTTTTAATGTAAATTAATTCAACTTAATACAATATAAAACCGCTAAGATAGTTCTTTCTTCATAGTTGAATTTTAAAAAAGGGACAATGAAATTATTTTTGATGATAATTCTTCCAATTATGCACCCGACTGGGCTTTGGCGCCGCACTAACTTCCTTTTCTCAGCTGGTGAGAGCACGGCACAAAGCTCGTTCACAAGCAATTCGTTCCTGATTTTGTTTTTCTCTCACAGTTGACGAGTGTGCCAATTGCACCACACCCTCGTTCCTATTTAAACTGTCAAGAATAAGCGCGCATTATTTTTAAGAAGGCTAGAAAAAACGACTTGTTTCACGCAAGAGAACGGTTAAAATACTTCCCTCATGAATATGCCCGCGTGCACAGGGCCTACCTTATTAGGTCGGAATAGGCTGTACTGTAAAAAGAGACCCGTTTTACCACTTGTCCGCATCACACGAGAGTATATCTCTTTACCCTAAATAATACGTTTCCCGTGCTTACTTTCTCTCGGCAGATTGCTTTCTCACGGCGTGACATCTTATTTATGAACATCGTTATTTACTGTAGTCACTGGTAGCTTAAACAACGTAGGACGTAACAAGTCTCGTACACTTTCTTATCGCCTTGCGGATAATAATACTACGGCATTAGACGGGCAAGAATACCAAAGAACAAATCACAAACCATCAAGTGCATTAATAATTTTGCAGGCTCTTCTTTTCTTAGGCTGACAGTAACTGTGGTCGTAATTGGCCTTCTGTGAGCTTAGCATGGAAGATGCCGCACAGGCAATGTCGCGTGCGCGTTTGCGTCGGTACTTATCGATCATTTAGCCAATATGTCAGTTACACTTCTAATAAACAAAGAATTGTCATTAGTGACCTTTTTTCTAAAAGCCGCCACTCTTTGGCTGCATCAAGCGTCCTATGAAAACTTCCAGTTAACGAACTTTGCTTTGTGCAGGAAAGCCGAATTAAATACCTAGTAGTTTTTAATATTGATATCAACGCGTCTATGAGGGTACTTGTATCCAGACTTGTACGTAATCCGTTACAAGTAACGGAATTACTTGTAATCCCTTACATTTATCAGTAATTTAGTAACGGAATAATTACATATTTTCTAGAGTAATTTTAAAGTAATTCACTTACATTTTTCACGTAACGGATTCCTTGTAATCCGTTACAATATTTTTTTGTCAAACCAATCCCCCCCCCCCCCATTCTAAAAAAAAAGTTATTTTTGTTGTTTTTTTTTTGTAAAATCGAGCGCAGTGACACTGTCACGGGAATTGACCACCGCAAGGGAGGCTTGGCACTCTTCAGTTCCTTCCGCAAAGCCTTTTTTTTTTTGCAACACCAAGCCCCTGAGTCTATCTTTTTTTTTTTTTTTTTTTTTTAGACCCTAACATTAATGTAAAAAAATCCAAATAAACAATTCTACAAAAAAAAAAAGGGGGGGGGGGGGACAAGTTATTTCCGCGTTTTTTTTTTTTTTAGTGCCTTTGTTTTATTCTTTGCGATCGAAGACGGGTAGAGGAGGACACCAAGTGATTGTGCGCCTCTTCGAGAAGCTCGAGGCGGTAAGTGCACCGAAAAGAATTAACAATGTCCTTCTCGGATATAGTGACTACGACCATTTTCATGTGTCACAACGTGTCACCACGTCACAACACAACACAATGTCACAACACGAGACAACGCTCCCTCTACCCTACCCTTTTTGTGAGTCAGCTTTTTGCGAGCACTTAGAAAATGGTAACAGTCTTCCTTTCTTCTGTCTGTTTTGCCCCAGCAGGACGTATCTTATCTTAAGCAGATATTTTTACAAATAAAACATAATAATGGCTGACGTAGACTTGATATTCTGGGCTTGAGGAGAGAGTGAAATTCGTGAGTAGGGCCATAGCGCGGCTTACTTAGTATTCTACCCTTTGCTGCCCGTGGCATCAGCGGACGTATATCTGGAGAACACCGGAGTAAGCTGCAGTCGGTTCGTGCTCCGTGCGTTTTTGAACGGCACCAAGAAAGGTACACACGGCAAACGTGCGTCTACAATTCCTTGTTTTAACTGACGTTCTAATTAATTGCTGTTATGAGTGTCCTTCTTTTTTATTTTATTATTTATATTTATATACTGGAAACTTTTTTTTATTGACCAACGTCTCAAGTGAGGCTCGAACTGTTCAGAACCAAAGGAAGAAGAATATCGAGCAAAACCTTATTTATTATTTAATTATCCCCTTACTGTTACAACTATGTTTTGCTATTGATGACTTCTACAGCTTCGCCATTTAGACAATGGAGAATTTTAGCAGATCGGTCCGATGACTCCGATAACGATATCCGATACTTCGCCTCCGTCTTTGCGTATGCATCATATCGTTATTGGGTACCGTTATTGCGGGTATCGGAGGTATCGGAAAGATCTACTAAATCTCTCGAATAGCAGGCAACGGCTGCAACGACAAAGCTTTGCTCTACATTCGAGGTAAATAGTACTTCCCTTGCTTCGCACAAATGCTTTGCACGAATGCTTCATGCAGAGCATGAAGCATTCGCGAGGAAGAATATGGCACTCCCATGCAGTGCCTCAGATCAAATGGTGTTCAGCGCAGCAGTCGACATATTGAGTAAGAAATAAAGCAAAATGTCTGACGAGACTTTTGAGAGCCAGCTGTTTCTCAAAATACTGAAGGTCATTAAATGGAACAGGCGGCAACAATAAGAAATTGAATAACCCTCTTCCATTTGTTTCTTACTTGAGGACAATAATGTTGAAAGTAACGCCACGAAAGTAACGGATTACTTTTTGGGGTAACGGTCAGTTACTTTCATTGGAGGGTAATTGTAATTGTAATAAATTACAATTTAGCCTCGAGTAATTGTAAATGTAATTCCTTACTATTTTTCAGTAACGTGTACAAGTCTGCTTGTATCTTACGAATTCCTTGAAAAATATTACGTTAGTTTATTTCCTAAAGTCGTGACAGAAAAACGATACTGAGGGACTACCTTTAACTTTATAACCTATTTGTGCGGTAATTTCAGGAGACATTGTTTAATAATCTAAAAATAATTTAATACACACACTGTATCACGACAGGCAGTAATGGGAAATACAGCTGTTTTAGCTTAACTTCGTAGCTTTATTGACCTTATGGAGTTAAGAAAGCGATAAGAAGGCATGTGGTAGCGCTCCTCAAAAATTTTTATGTTGGCGCATTGTCATATGATTTCCTCCTAAACAATGATTAATTCTCACGAACAGGAGTTTTCACCCTCCCAAAAGTTCAAACACACTTGAGGTGTCATTATTAATTGGCTAAAGGCCAGGTATAGGGATGCTCTTACCACGCGTCATAACCTGTGCATTTCGTCCTCGTCAAACACTTTTGACTTGCTTGACACGTAGAAAAGTTGAGATCCGTCCCTGCTTCTGAAAAAAAAAAATTAAAAAACAACGGATTCATTGTAAAATACACTGGTCGTGTTTCTAAAAAATTACTATGGTACATTGTCTTCGACTTATCAGAAATAACACAACATTTGGTGGTGTTCTTGAGAAAAGTGATGCATTTCAACATTAACCTATAATCGACGGCAGAACAAAAAACAAAGGTGCTTCCCGCGGTTTATATCCATACTTTAAAATCCAATGTGTTTAATATAATCAAAACTGAACTCTTATAAACTAAAAGGACAAAAACGGAATGCGGAGATCAAGTTCGTCTGCTTCATTTCATGAAGTTGTGGTGACATGAGAACGGCAAGCTCTGGTTGACTGTGATTGAAGGAGGAGTAGACCTTAAGGCAAGCTGACTTGAGGTCTAGGTCTACCTAACAACGGCATAAATTCCGTTGTTACTCAAAATATACCGAGGACTATGTTTAGTGATTTAATTCAAGTCGCTAAAAATATTATCTTGAAACAAATATAACTGAGCTGATAGAACCTGTTCAGGCACCATATCATCAACAACCTTGTAGCTGTCATACTTTGGCGCTTACATCTTCGAAGCTGTGTTCTTTCGACACGTGCTTGTTATGACAAGTGATAATTAGTCGCTTGCCTGCTTTGTCGCCGTGTTGCTTTGAAAAGTAACGATTTGATCAGGCTGTTTGACGCTGCGCTTCTTTTTCCGTCGTGGTAACCTGACTAGTGAATGTTGGGTTTTAAGGGCGCCCTCTTTATACCGTTTAGGTTGCATAATAAAACAATATTTTAGTAAAACCAATTTTCAGACTTCATCTAGATTTATTGAATTGGTTTGGTACGTTAAAAAAAGTGTGTTTACTGATAGACCGTCCCATGTCATCCGTTTATCAGGCTCTGTTTTAATGAGAGCGCCTTGACATATTTTTGAAGTAAAGCCCAATGTATTTATCCTAAGATTTATACCATGCATGGTGAGGTGGCTTCACCTTCAGAAAAATTCTAGGCCATATATGCGCTGCAGGAGAGTCGAGAATATATAAATTTTAACCAAAAATCCAATGAGAATATTAGCAGCGACTAACACAATACTAAATTTAAAATAAGAAGCGAAATATTGATCGTTTTCTCATCTTATTGGGAAATTGCTGTGTTAATGTAATTTTCTGTCATTTAGACAGAAATATTCATAACTGGTATTTTCAGTATTTCAAATATGTTTCAGATGCATGAAAGAATTGGGCAATTTTGTAAGATGAAATATTTATATACTTTCGTATATCTTCCAGGTTTTCGAAAGGATAGAGGGCCAATTTTTTATTCCCGGAAGCGCCTCAAGTGGAGAACTTGAAAGCAAAATTTACATTGAAGATAAAACTCGCAAATCAATTGATCATGATATAAAGTAGAAAGCGACTCATGACTAATCTGTCAGAATACTTACAGGCCTGTTGCCGTCTGAGAATTTCTGGATTGCACAGCTATTTGTTCCCCTGAAAAAAAATAATAGTACGGTAGAATAAAATAGCAGATGCACAAAAACTTTGAATTACGTAAGTTTTGACCAATTTACTCACTTTAAAAAATAGTAAATATGTTATTTTAATTTCACTAATAAAAAAAATGTAACTGCCAGAACCTCAAGGTGAGTTAATTTTTACGTGCCAAAATGTACGGGAAAGTTTAGTGTGCACTAAAAGTGAAGATAAATTTTCACATCCTGATAATCTCATAGCCACCAAAATTAAGAGATATGGCACAACTGCCTGCAAAACGTGATTTAGTTGTGGTTGTTTCCACGATCATAAGTTCTTTCATTCGGCATTCTTTTTAGTTTTCCTGTCCTAGTTTCCGAGAAGTTAGCCACACCACAAGCAGCAAAAGAACCCCGCGGCGACTCAGGGCAGGCAGATGCCTGAAATAAAGCTTTAAAGCCTCAGTTCCAAGAATGCTGGAGCTTTACTATCAGGGGGATGCTGTTGTACCTCCACCGACCCTTCCTGCCAACACGGTTTTACGTGCTCATGATCTAGCATCAAGCATCCTTTCTATCAGAACACGTAGGTGCCATAACGACTCGTATGCGACAGTAATTTTAAGCAGATGTATGAAGTGCTTCGTGAACACATTTTACATTGCTTCTTAAAAAAAGTAAGATAGTGCACCACCGGACAGACATATGGCGGCCTTGCCCTAATTGAAAGTCGGGCTGAGGTGACGACACCCAGGGCAAATGATAGGCACGGAGACGGGAGCCACCACATATCCAAGTGCGAAGCAAACGCTGTCTTGTCCTAGCGGCCGAAATGCAAAACAGAGGATATGAGGCTAAATGCATGGAGTTCGAGTGGCGGGAAGAAGTGACACGAATATATTGGCGTTGTTGAGGCATCTAACCGAAGTACTGCTATACAGGGTGTTTGATTTCAATTCAAAGATATTACGAAAAAAGAGCAGGTAGCTGACGAGCGCCGCCTTCGCCATGTATTTATCTTGCTTTGCCGATATTATTGGACGGAATAATCGTCACTGTAAGAAAAATATTTAGTTAATATATCTTCATTTCCATTTTAGTTCCGTTTAAAATTGGGCGAGTTGGTTGTGCATAGTTACGAAGAGGGAAACAGCGCCAAAAGTAGGGAGGAAAACAAAGAACGAGGAACAGCGCTCGGTCTGTGCGTCCCTCGTTCTTTGCCCCGGTGCTTTTGGCACTGTTTCCCTCCTTGTAACCACCCTAGTTCCCCGTTTTAGGGATGACGTTTGGATTGCAGTATTGACACCAAATACAATTAGAAGCTAGACCATTATAAATAATTTGCTAAAATGTGATATTAATATTAATCCATCAGTGTTCTCATTTTTTTGCTCGAATTAATAATTTCCTGCAAACGAAAAAAAGCATTAAGTATCACTCCATGACGCCTAGAAGAGTGACGTAGTCGTTTAGGAGATGGCAACACCTGTTGTAACGGCGCACCCACCAAAGATATGCTGCCCTAATAGGGAAGACATGACTGAATTGACGATATAACTCTTGTAAGCGTCATAGTAAGCAGGGCTATAGTGACATATTTTTAATCTGACGAAAAAAAAGGACCAAATTTGAGATACCAATTTTTTTTTTATCTAACATTTTTGCATTTTTTTAAATTGGTCTGACCTCTAATAGTAACTTCTGACAACACTCCAATTTCAACATAATTTCTAAAACGAATAATTTAAACGTTAATCAAGATACTTTAGTTAAATTGCCAACTTTACTTGGTGACTGACACCTCATCTAATGTCAGACGTGTGATAAATACATGGTGAAGACACTACCCGTTTCACCTTTACCCTCGATTACTAAGGAAGTTGGAATTAGAAATAAGCACCCTGTACATTATGTTTCAGCACAACCCATGGCAAAGGGTGAAAGCTGCTCCAGTGCGGTGGGAGCGAAGCGGTAACCGGACCAATCATCCGCCCCTCTTCCATCATTTGCCTTGGCTGTCTGCGCTTGGATATACGCGGAAACATAATAACGGGGCGAAAGCTAGCCGTATGATTGATCTCACGAGCACGTTCCTGCCAACGTACTGCTAGCTTAGGGACTGAGCAGGGTATGAGAACCAATCAGAGCATCCAAGAGACACACGTGACAGCACTGCTCAAAACTGTCACGTGCGCCCGTTCTCTCGTTCTGATTGACTCACGAGGGTCGTAGCGTTTATCTTTTAAAGAACGTTATGCTGAAATGGGGTATATCGAGCGCTTTCACTGCAGTTCATTCTACTGCGTAATCCGAGTTTCGGCATTCAGACAGCGTAATATTCGTCTTGAGGACACGTATAATGAACAATATTCCATAAAAAAAAGTATATGTCAGTCCTAGACCTTGCCTTTGTCTAAATTGAGGCATAAAATGTGAGATGGCCTTCTCACCTGGTCTTTTAAGGGCATAAGGCACATCGTAGACCCTGTGTGGCACAGCGTAGCCAGACGAACCCCGTGATGATCCGCCGCAGTAGGTTGGCTCAGGGGAGCCGAGAACGTCGCTCTTGTAGCGTTCTCCTGACACGCTACCTGCGTGCGAAATTATTCTGTTTTATTGTGCTGCCGTCGAAAAATTTAAATAATTTGTATATCCCGCTTAAACCGCTATGTTAGATCACTGTGGTGATCTTCGAATTTTAGATATTATTCAACAACAAGGTGTCGCGAACATAAAGCACAATAAATAATTCATTGTCATACAAAAATTAAAAAAAACTATCGTTCCTTAATATTGAAATGAATATATAGTACGTCAAAGTTCAATTATTAAGCAACAGTCAAATATTCTAAATATGCAAAAAAAAAACAAAAAAACATCCACATGTTTTTGAAAATAGATTAAGATAATATTGCCTCCCTTGGCCTTTACGTTGCCTACGAATGTCTATACATTTTATTTTCAATCGCACAAATGTGGACGCCTAATTTTTTGTATGTATTGCACAGAAAGAGTTTTACCTGTTACCCGATAGAACCTACACTGTACGCATTGACCGCACTCACGTGTTTTTATTCCTCTTCTGTCCGCCACATGGTATACATAGCTAACATATACCAGCTCAGAAACCAAAAAGTGAAAGAAATACAGATACATCCGAAATATCATCCCCTGCATAAGTCAGATATATAAGAAAAATAGGTGGATCTACATCTTGCCTTGAGGAGTTCCTCGCGCGGCGGCGTCTTCGGCGTGCCGGTGAAGTACACACCACAGGACGGCGAGCACCACCACCAAAACAAGCACAGAGCTGCCGATGGGTAACGTAACAGTTAGGTGCCGATAGAAGGACGCCATCTTGGAGTTCAGCAGGTGGGACTTCTGCGAAGGCACATCTGCATGGAGGGTATACAAAAAAGTTAGGGAAAGTCCAGGTAAAGAAAAACCAAAATGTAGGGTCAAAAAACATGCCCTTGAAATTACACTAAACATTTTTTTTAGGAGTGAACATAAGGCAAATCGTAGACCCTGTGTGGTAGAGAGCAGCCAAACAAACCACGTGAGGATCCGCCGCAGTAGGTTGGCTCCTCAGGAGAGCCAACCTCCGGTTGGGTTCTCTTTCAGAGCCTCCAGCGCGCGGCCTCTGCTTGCGAATCACATAACGAATTTGAAGATTGGTTTGAGCGATGTGGAAAGGGGGAGCGAGAGAAGAGAGGGAGCGTAGCGGCAGTTAATTTTGCGACACACGCGTCATAGTCATGTACTTAAAGGAACCATAAAACCATTTTGAAATCGAATTTCATCTACCGCACGTCGTAAAAGATGTGAAAAGAAAACCAAAAAACAAAAATATAGGCACAAAAATGTTTTTTTCCGCCATTGAAATTCTTAAAGAAGAGGACTCTTTTCTATGTTCTTTCCTTCAAAAGTTCTGTACCTTTTCACTGCGATGCATCCGCGTGCCAAAACACGTCAGCCAAAACCACGTCCCCTATTGGATATGAGCCTACCTCACCATCACCGTCATCATGAACAGTAAATAACCGGAGGATATTGCTTAAAAGTTCTGTTGAAGAATATTCTGGTTTGCATTTCGTAGCATAATTAGCGATGTGACGGTAGTTCCCAAATTTTAAGTTGCTCGAAGCCATCCGCCACCTGTCGCGGGATAAAGGAAGCAAAAGAAAGATCAGATTGCGTCTGCAGTGTCAGCCCACGGGAGTCGACTGCTGAGGAGAGCGAAGAGAGCTCGACCGCGCGCGTTGTATGCCCTTCGCGGCTCCTACTATCTGCTGAAAAACATGCGTAGGCGATGATCGTCGACGTGGTCGGCATGGTGGACGCTCATAGTTCCGCTATCCGTGACCTAGTTCTCGTCCTCTGTCGCGATGATAACCCAACACGTCCTAGAAGGGAAGATCCATCTACTCATGCGGCGATGTTGTGGCAGCACCCTCAATACAGCGGAAACGCTTACGCCGCCGTCTTAGTTTACTTAAACTTGTGGTCGGTTTGCCTTGCTGCATACCCGACCCGGAGGAATAACACGGAGCCAACGGTTTCAACGAAAAGACACTAAAATTAATAGGACAAAGACGATCACAATACTAACATAGTTGTCACCTCTCGGCAGTAATCGGCCGACTGCCTTCGCGTCGCTTCTGCCTCAGCTTATCTAGGCGAGCGGCGCGAGCCGCGCCTGGCCGGCTGCTTGCTGCCACCTTGCAGCCGAATGATGGCCACGGTATTTTTGGGGACCGGGCAACCGTGTAGATCGGGCCACCAACACCCCCCCCCCCTCCCAGCCTCAACCCCCTTAACAGTCGGGCATGTCAATGACAATGTTGTCGACGTCGAAAGGAGGGGCCCGGCTAGCGTAGTCGGTAGAGCATGAGACTCTTAACCTCAGGGTCGTGGGCTCGGGCCCCACGTTGGGCGCCATTTTGGTCGGTTTGCCTTGCTGCATACCCGAGCCGGAGGAATAAGACGGAGCCAACGGTTTCAACAACAAGAAACTACAATTAATAGGACATGGACAAGACAATTAACATTGTTACCGGCGGCGCCTGAGTGCAGGCAGCAACTCCCTGTGCGCCGCCCCTGATCCTCCTTATCAAGGCGGCGCACGCGATGCGCGCGTGGCCGGCGTGACGGCGCCGCCACGCGGGAAAACTTCGCCACCTGTGCCACGCAGTTGGGCAACTGGGCTGGGTGGCCACCAGGGTGCCCATAAACTACAGTGGTTCTTTTTTAGCATTTGTGTCCTGAAACATCACCCGAATTTCTTATTTCGCGCATTCCATGCGTGTGCTCAAGTTGAAGGTATTTCTGATATGTACTGGTAATTAAAGGCGTGTATGATGGATGCAAAGTTTTGTGTGTTTTCATTAGCTGAGGAAATTGACTACTGTTAGCATTCCCGAATGCTCGCAACGTCTATGGGATCACAAAATTATATTTCTACGTTCATATATCGCTGCGAAGATTACATCGTCGTTTTCAATCGCAGAAGAGGCGTGTGGCGAGGCTTGTACTATCGGTAAAGTCGTGTGTTAAAGTCGTAATCATATAAGACGGCGTACTGCATCTTTTTCTTGTTTCGTTTTTGATCCGCTCTGCTCTGCGAGCCTATCATGACATAAAAATCATTAACAATAGAAAGCTCTGTTCATTTTCTGCTGCGCCAGTGAGTGGCAGCGTGTGCCCTTCTTTTTAGAGGCACCGCGGAAACAGGGGACGTCGGCGGAGAAGCGGCCGTCGTGCTGACGACCTGCTGCGTTTGTCGCATTGATTGCAGGGGTGTGTAAGTACACGCGAGGCAAAGCGGTTGTTCTGGCCTCTACGGTCACAACGGACGCAGTCGTAGCTGACGCGCTTGTCGCAAGTGCCCGAATTACACTTTGTGCAGCCCGGAGCTTAAAAAAGTTCAGCTGCAGTTTCACCGCTTGCCACAGCAGGAACCACGTCGAAGCACTTGATGGAAGCTCATCGGTTTGAGGGACCCCAGGTCTAAGGCCTTCCATGAATTCTCGGAACATTCCTAACATTAAAGTCACCACTCCTTCTCGTCCGATTCCGACGAGGAACTGAAGTCTTAGTGGGAAGGCCTGGCGCACTTTCCAACCGGTGTAACGGCGTGTGGGACCAGTCCCATGCTGCCGGAGTAGTGCAACATACCTAATTGAATTTCGCTCAGCTGCGATGTGTCTATGGCTATCGCGGTGATGAGAGGCGCCAATTCAGAAAATATGTCGGTGGCATCGGCGCCATCAGTGCAGTAAAATCCTGTGATGAAACCTACCGGCACACTGCCAGCTCGCCACTAACGCTTCCATTCTCCTACAGACGAGAGTACGTCCGGTTCTGGTGCCAGAGAACGTCACGGCTGTCAAAAGTACGCAGCGGCTTGTTTTACGGTGAGTTGGAGAGGAAGAAAAACTCGATTTTGTCACGTAGGACGAATGAAAAGGCAGGAAAAAACGGAATGAACCAAAATATCTAGTGGAGGCGAACTTGTGACGGAAACAAGAAAAAAAGAATAACAGAAGTCGAGAAAGCAGCAGCGAACGTCGATGGCGGCAGCTTCAAGCGACGGTGCGTCGGCATAACAGCTTGCTATCGCGAGAGAGAATCAGTGAATGAATCGGCAATACGGCGCTGAGCTCTTTATCTACTATGCTCGTTATCTCGACTATTCAACCTAGGATGTTCCGAAAAGAGCTAGGGCGCACTGACTAGGCGAGGATATTTGTCTTCCTTATCGTTTACGCTCGGGGTATGAGTATATGCGAACCTTCTTGAAGAATGGAAAAGCGTAGCTTTTCGACCATGCACGCGGCAATATCTGATTAATTTTTTGCGTAGAAGTTAATAAACCGAAGCTAGAAGGGGTGCCTGTTCGGTGTTCAGTGAACATTGAAGGATTAATGTAAAAATTATTCGGTCAAAAACCTAAAGGAAGTAATTTCATGGTCCCTTTAAAATGGCGATGCAACAATTTTAACCTCGAAATAATTTGCAGCTTTTAATTGTTACATTCTTTATCTTACCAAAAAGATGGTGAAACCGCATCATTCGTTTCAAGTATCCCCGCTCCGCTGGGCAATAGCAAAGCAATGAATAGCAATATTTCGCGATTTGCAGCCGCGGCGTGGCGGTCATGGGAACTAAGGCGCGACGTCAACCTGGGTGCATTGTAACAACGTGGCAAGGTGGGTTATACCACCTGCCCGAGGTGAATAATTCTAAACTTCTCTCGTGCTCTACCGCGTCGCTACAGCGCCAGTTCAAATTCCTTACGACAAGGCAAACGCTTCGCTGCGTTCCCCCTCTTCTTTCTCCCCATTTCCACATCGCTCAGACCAAGCTGCAAGATCGCCAAGAGAATCACAATCAGAGGCCACCCGCGTTGGAGCCTCTGAAAAAGATACCAGTCGGACACTCCGTGTCCGGTGAAGTTATTTTTTGAATTAATATAAAATAATATCGGTGCAAATAATATAAAATAATATCGCAGTTACTTCCTGTCTGGATATTTAAACCGCTTCTCGGCACGCCCTAAAGGCCGGTTCAGACACTTGCGTTTGAGTGCGTTTGACTGCGTTGCGTCGAGAACCGAAAGCGAGTCACCGGCACATCTGTGCTTCGTGTGAAGCGTGCAATCCAATTCAAAGAATCATCTTAGCACGGGATATAAGTAGCAGGGATGTCCTGGTTTCTCGCTGCCGCAGCGCAGTCAAACGCAGTCAAACGCAACTGTCTGAACCAGGCTTAAGCGTGTACTCTTTGACAAAAGGCAGCGACTATACGGAAAATGTGGTGACGCAACAAATCGTCTGACCTCCGAGAGACGCCGCCTTAACTTTTATCAAATGCTTCTTCTCACTTCATATAACGCGTCACACCGAATATCGCAGCCTTCATTTGGACGAAATACTAGACATGCCACAATAACTGTAATGTCGGATATTTTGCCAGTATTCCACATCAGCATGGCCACTGGGCCCCACAACTATAATTTCTGATGTAAGCACGAGTCACAGCATATAAAGTACGCTTGAGAATTGCATCATAAAGAGCATTAAAACTAGCAGACTCCACGAGTCCTCAGAGTAGCGGCCGACGTTTCGCCAACAGACTTAGCTAAGTCTATAAGCGAAATGTCGGCCGCCACCTTTAGGCCTCCAGTGCGGCATGGTGTGTCTTTCGATCACCTGGACCGCATCACACGCTCCATGCCTCGATAGAGATGCCGACGCGTTCTCGAAGGTAGAAAGCCAGCGCTGGAGGCAGGACAAGTGAGGCTCCCCCCTGCCGTTCTCATTTTGTCAGTGACTTTGAAAGTAGTTAAACTTCAAAATTACGAGTATATTAATGCGAAATCATTAACTGTCTCGTGGAGTAAGCTGACGTCATCAGTTTGAAGCGTGAAAACGGCTCCTAGTTTCCGCGATCCATATTGGAGCGATTCGCCTTCGGTTCCATTTGCTGGCGCCCGTCTACGGGGCTCCCATTGGCAGCTGCGCCATGGCCTCCGAGATCCCGAAGCGCGCACGAGCTAGAACTCAGCAGACGACAAAGGGAGCGGACGAGCGGCTTGCATGCTTTCGCATTCACAACTCATAAAAAGTGCTTAGGTGTACCTCGAGATTTTTTTTTGTTTGCTAATTCGGTTTACGTTGGAGTTTTTTCTGTTGTCTCGGAATGTATTGGGCCTAGGAGCTAAGTTATACTAGAAAGTGTTTAAAACCATATCTTCCGAATTATTTCCGATCATTATACTGGATGTGCAGTTTATTATGAATATAGAAGGCATATAAAACGATTCAACTGCCCTACTTTGTTTTCAAAATGATGAAAAAGAGCTTTTCCATTTTTTTTTTTTAAATGGCTGAATGATTTACTTTATTTTCCTGATTCCACATCATATATCAACCTCCTCGTTCGAAGACGAGTTTTCGTAGCTTCTCTGCCCTTCTTTCTCGGACAATATCGTCCGAATAAACGCCATGGAACGCATGAAACACCCGTATAAGACCCGCGGTGCACCAGATGTTGATAGTTGAAATTAGATATTTCTGAAAATTTAAGTTTTTCGGGTTAATGTTTTACCTCACTGCTCCCACTGTTTTCAATGCATCAGCTCTTCATGAGGACACAAAATAAAAATAATAAATTAAATGAAAGTAGCGCGCTCTGTTTTTGACACATGTTGGCTCCCTCACCTCCACTTGGCGTGAGCGTGGCGAAGTTGACCTGCGACCTCGTGGTTCCGGCGTCATTGTGCGCCACCATGAGTAGCACGTACCAGGAGCCCGGAGTCAGGTCCACCAGCACAACGGGTTCGTCGAGCCTGGTGGGCACGTGACTTGACACCAGTGTCCAGTCGGCGTCTCCGGAGGCTGCACTCCGGTAGTGCACGGCGAAGTGGCTGATGGGGCAGCCCCCGTTCCACCAGGCATCTAGCCGCAGCCACGCGGCCGTGGAGTTGGCCTCCACTAGTCTGTCTGGTTGCTGGAGGACCGGACCTGCGCAAATCCGGATTATTTAGCTCAGTCGTTCTCAAATGGGGGTCCACGGACCCTTTGGGATCCGCGATGGTATTCTAGGGGTCTGCGAAGCCCTGCATCATCAGTCAAGCACGGCGATAAAAGTTGTATTTTTTTCAGAATGAGCAGAGACCTTTTAAATTCTGGGTGAGTTTTCTGGTGCGTATGTCAATGAGAGAAGTCTACTTTACACTAGCACTTAGTTATTTTAACTTATTATGTCATTATTATAGTTAACCTGTACATTTCCCCTCACATCACCAAAAACGGGGTGTTCCATCATCTCCGCCGATCCACAAGGGGTCCGCGAAGCATCATTAGTTGACAACCACTGACTCAGCTGATTCCATCCACTCTCGGCTCTTGCGGCAATACCTGTCACGCTTTATGGACGAAATTTTTGTCGTTTTTCTTTTAGAATAATGTCCGTCCACACATTTAACCCTATCTGTGCGTCACTTTTCGATCACAGCTTCAAAGAAAAAGTTGTGGCCAGATATATTCTCGCTCCTCGGTGTGCGATTCGCTCTTAGGCGTTCTTGTTGGCTAAAGCCACAATGTCAATAGCAACCGAGCATTAATAAGAGGCTCGCAATTCGTCACACCCTCCGTTCCTTAAAATGACAGTGATTATACTGTTTTTTTAGAGCAAACGGCAAGGTATTTACTTTCGTTTAAGAAGCTAATTTAGCATATGAGTTGGAGGAAGAAAAAAGAAAGTCGTCTCCATTACGACGGTGCAGGGCGAAGTTTCCAGTTGAAACGCTTTCTTGGTGCTTCATGATTCGCCTGAATATTTTTACTTGCATTACGGATTGGTGAACAAAATTTGATGGTGTATATTTTGTGTTTTGTATTGTTCCTGACACGGTCCTCGATACGTTGTATAGTTTTATATTTGTCAACAATTCAGGTTAGGATACGTGTTGTTATTCATTTATGTTTTCAGAACTTTGATTATATTGCCTTAAATAGTACTAATAACGACGATTCAATTAGCGCAAACAGTGAACGTAGGCTTTCTTCAGATGTTATTGACTGAATGAAGGAAATGTAACGCGTCTAGACCGCTATCAGAGCAAAAACGCTTGCTGAACTCCCGGCTCATATTTTAAAAATATATAAATCTCAGTTTTTTGGGATTATTAAACTGCGATGCGCCCTCAACACACGACATTAGAAGCGCCATTCTACGGCATGCCAGTAACCTTATCAGGAAGCATAAGAAAAACAATTCGCTTAAAAACATTCCAAGAATTAACCCAATATAAACCCGTCCCCCATCAAGGCCGCTTTGCTGCTAGTATCACACCCGGCGGTTACCTTGCCTGCCACGGGTATTTCAAGGTCACGTGAAACTAAAATAAACTAGCGTTAGTAGCCAATGTCTGTCGTAGGTCCGTACTCCATTTGAGACTCATCCACTCAAGCACGCCGCTAGCATTATTTGCCCCATACTATCACACCTCGTGAATAGCATATTAGAGAGCGGTACTTTCCCCACTGATCCAAAGCTGGCTAAAGTTACTCCTATTCACAAGGGCGATAGTAAAATAAGTATCGAAAATTATAGGCCCATTTCTGTACTGCAAAATATATCTGTAAAATATTTAAAAGTATACACCAACTCATGTTTGCAAACAAACCGGAGCGCCCCTAGTGGACGTCACTGGCGCCGCGCATGCGCCGTGGATGGTGGGCAAGAAGCCCGCCGTCGCCCATAAACAAACCATTGAATTGCGTTGTTGTCGGCGTCGGTGGGAGTCCCCGTGCTCTTTTTCGCGTTGGAATTGTTGATTCTACGTCCTCCTAACAATGTCTGACTACTTGAGCGGCTTCAGCAAAACTATCGAGGCAAAACTTTGCGTGAATAATGTGACTTGCGGCGATTCATTTCACGTGGACGCCGCAGAATGGGCGCTATAAAACCTGACTCCCACGTCGAGATTCTGCTCGCTATTTTCAGTCGCGACGTCGCTCGGACTGCAAAAGCGTGGACCGTAGCTGAGATGGTGGACATCGATACTGAAAACCTCAAGTAGAATCGGGCATTACAAGTCGGTGATGGCCACTGGTAACAATGATCAACAACTTCTTGTATCTGTTTACACTTAGCCGACTTACTCCAACCAACCTTCAAAAGTGTTTTGAGGCCTGCACTTAGTTCTTATCGCAATTACCGGGTCAATGTTTGGTTTACGAGCCGCTGTTTGAACGAACTGACGACAAAAAGCAGCCAAGTTTGAAAGAGCAGACGACAGTTGGAACGCACGCGCAGTGGAGTACGGGCAAGAAGCACCGGGTCCCGCGTCAACAAACCATTCAAATGTCACGTTGTCAGCGTCTGTGTGAGTCTGCATACTCTTTTTCGCGTTGGAGTTGTCGATTCGACGTCCTCATCGCAATGTCTTACCACTTTAATCGCCTGAGCGAAATCATCAAGGCTCGTTACGCTGCTAAACTTTGCATAAATAATTTGACGTGCGGCGATGTATTTGCATGACCGCCGCAGAATGGACGTACAAAACCATGATGAGACTCTTCTAGCTATTTTCGGTCGCGACGACCCTCGTGCTGCAAAAGTGTAGAAGGTAGCGGCGATGATCGACGTCGATACTGAAAATCGGAAGCGGGAACAGACAAAGCGTAACAAGTAGGTGATGGCCACCGGTACCAATGATCAACATCTTGTATCTACTGCTTACACTGAGCCTACTTAAGTCTTTTGAGGCCTGCAATTACTTCTTATTGCAATCACTGGGTCAAAGTTTGGTCTACGGGCCGCTTTTGTTTGAACGAGCAGACGACAAAAAGCAGACAACTTTGAAAGAGCAGACGAAAGTTCGAACGATCAGGCGGCCGTGTGAATTTGAAGACGCACTGAATCCGTGGGTGGTCCGGACAACTTGGGGGTTTTCTCTCGGTCATGTTGGAACAAAGCAAATACATCTGGCGACTACAAATTGTGGCCCGCACACGCAATCGTAGTTCGACAGCGTCAGGTTTGCCCTTTTCACGGCTGCTATCGACGTTCTCGGACGAACGGAGGGTGCAAAAACACATGAAAACTGATCTTCAAACCTTCCCAGACACTCTTTGTAAAGCCCCCATCGCAGCATTTTGACGAGAAGGCAGGTTTTTTGTCTCGTTTCTTCCAAAGGAACACAGGAATGCATGTCTGGCACGGCGACTTCTGCCCACCGCCCCAGACCGGAAGTGCGTCCGGCGCGCCACCACCGCGGCGTGACGTAGGAGAGTTGAGTTGGTGTATAAAAAAACGCCTAATATATATATATATATATTTTTTTTTTGGTACAAATTATAGTGTAATATTTCTTGCCCAATACGAATTCCAAAAGGAAAAATCTATCGTGAAAGTTCTTATGGACATAAAGGAGAAATTGCTTGAAAATATTGAAGACAAGTTAATTACACTCGTACTGTTTTTAGATTTGAGGAAAGCATTCGACACCGTTCAGCATACAATTTTAGTCCGGAAACTAGAACATTACGGCCTCCGCGGGGTCGTGCTCGCATTACTAAAAAGCTATTTAACAAATTTTCTGCAATACGTGAAAGTTTACAATCTTGAATCAAATAAGATTAAAAAAAAACAAGTCATGATGTCCCGCAGGGCTCCATTTAGGCCCGTTACTTTTCCAAGTTTATATAAATTATATCGAAAGCATGTCTGGTTTCCCGGAGTATTTATGCGGATGACGCTAATATTTTTTTATTTTTTTTTTTGTGAAGTAACTTTCGAATGCCTGGAGAAAAGGGCAAACGCCTATCTTGTAAAGCTTTCGAAATAGCTGAGTTCCAATGGGTTACAATTATACACACGCAAAACAAAGTATGTGATTTTTAAACCAGCAACAAAGCGTCTTACAAACTCCCTTAAGATTAGGTTTGCAGGTGATTTAATAGAACAAGTAACCGACAAAAAATATCTGGGTGTGTGGTTTATCCAAGAGTCAAAATGGAATACACGCGTAAGCAAACTAAACTCAGAATTTTCACGATTTCTTGGCAGCAGGTATTTATGCAGTGACAAGCCTTGTTCCGATCTGGTTAGTTGAAACCAGACTTGTACGTAATCCGTTACAAGTAACGAAATTACTTGTAATCCGTTACATTTATCAGTAATTTAGTAACGGAATAATTACATATTTTCTAGAGTAATTTTAAAGTAATTCCCTTACATTTTTGACGTAACGGATTCCTTGTAATCCGTTACATTTTTTTTGTCAAAACCAACCCCCCCAATCTAAATAAAGCTTTTTGTTTTCATTTTTGCAAAGTCGAGCACAGTGACACTGTCACGCGAATCGACCAGCGCAAAGGGAGACTTAACACTCTTCAGTTCCGCAAAGCCTTTTTTTTTTTTTTTTTGCAACACCAAGCCCCTGACTGTATTTTTTTTTTAGACCCTAACACCAATGTCAAAAAAATCTAAATGAACCATTCTACACACAAAAAAGGGGGAGGGGGCAAGTTATTTCCGCTATTTTTAGTCCGTTTGGTTTTTGTTTGCGATCGAAGAAGGAGAGAGGAGGACACCAAGTGATTGTGCGCCTCTTCGAGAAGCTCGAGGCGGTAAGTGCACTGAAAAGAATTAACAATGTCCTTCTCAGTTATGGTTTCATATTAGGGAATTGTAGTAGATCGTTTTTCTCCTCCGCTACGGTGTCCCCGAAGAAAATGCCGCAGCTGCGCATGCGCGCCGCCAGCATTCTCTGCATAGTTCAAGGTCTTGCGGCGGATTACGGAGCGCTATCCTGGTGCTTAGCGGGCTGCGGGAACGGTCTACTACAATTCCCTAATGTCACAACACGAGACAACGCTCCGTCTACCCTACCGTTTTTGTGAGTCAGCTTTTTGCAGGCACTTAGAAAATGGTAATAGTCTTCCTTTCTTCTTCCTGTTTTGCCCCAGCAGGACGCGTCTTATCTCAAGCAGATATTTTACAAATAAAACATAATGGTGGCTGGTGTAGACTTGATATTCTGGGCTTGGGGAGGAGCGAGTGGAATTCGTGGGTGGGGCCATGGCGCGGCCTACTTAGTACTCTACCCTTTGATGCCAGTGGCATCAGCGGACGTCTATCTGCGTAAACTGCAGTCGGTCCGTGCTCCGTGCGTTCTTGAACGGCACCAAGAAAGGTACACACGGCAAACGTGCGTTTACATTTCCCTGTTTTAACCTACGTTCTAATTAATTGTTGTTATGGGTGTCCTTTTTTTATTACTTATATTTATATACTGGAAACTTTTTTTAATCAACAACGTCTCAAGTGAGGCTCAAACTGTTCAGAACCAAAGGAAAAAAAAAATATCGAGCCAACTCTTATTTATTATTTAATTATCATCTTACTGTTACAACTATGTTTTGCTATTGATGACTTCTACTGCTTCGCGATTTAGACAATGTAGAATTTTAATAGATCGGTCCGATGACTCCCATAACGATATCCGATACTTTGCCGCCGTCTTTGCGTATGCATCATATCGTTATCGGGTACAGTTATCGCGGGTATCGGAAAGATCTACTAATTCTCTCGAATAGCAGGCTACGGCTGCAACGACAAAACTTTGCTCTACATTCGGGGTAAATAGTACTTCCCTTGCTTCGCTGGAAAAGCTCAATGCTCAAAGCTCACGAATGCATGAAGCGTTCGTAAGGAACAATATGGTACTCCCATCCAGTGCCTCAGCTCGAATGGCGTCCAGCGTAGCACTCGACATATTGAATAAGAAATAACGCAAAATGTCTGATGAGACTTTCGAGCGCCAGCTGTTGCTCAAAATACTCAAGGTCATTAAATGGAACAGGTAGCAACAATAAGAGCTTGAATAACCCCCTTCCCTTTGTTTCTTACTTGAGGACAATAATGTTAAAAGTAACGCCACGAAAGTAACGGATTACTTTTTGGGGTAATGGTCAGTTACTTTTATGGGAGGGTAATTGTAATTGTAATAAATTACAATTGATCCTTGAGTAATTGTAAATGTAATTCCTTACTATTTTTCAGTAACGTGTACAAGTCTGGTTGAAACATTGTATTGCTCCTTTTTTTTCAAAATGTGTTATTGAATTTTTATACGGAGCACAACTACACTATCCGGTTACCATAAATTACTAATCATACAAGAAAAGGTTCTACGCATACTCGAAAATTAGGGGGGAAGAGGGGGGGGGGGGGAGAGAATAATGGCACTGCGGACGGAACCACTTTTATTAAATACAAGATCTTAAAGGCAAATCAAGTATGCTATTCAAATCATTTCAATCCATTTCTCGAAAAAGGTTATACGCCACCCCAGTTGCAGCAGAAGAATTGTACCTGTTCCGTCATGTTAAAAGAAGCCTTACGTTAAACAAGGACAAATTAAGGAAGGCAGAGTATACACTATCAAATAATTGGTCTATTACATGACATGCCCTCTATGAACTATGCAAAATCGTTCCCTTTATTTAAAATAAAAAAGAATGTAGAGCACCACTGGTAGGCAGCGATATAAACTTTCTCTAAGCTTTCTAATCACAATAAAGCGTTGTATTATACTTTATACCATCAAAATTCATCCTTGTTTTATTTGATGTGCGTGACTCGCCTTGTTATATTTTCTTGGGTATATACTGTTCTGTTTCCGTAAAGTAAGATATGATGATGCTTGTTGTTTGTGTAGTCCTTAGAGTGCTTGTTTTTGCATTCAGTAGACATTTTTATCCCTAATGATGTGGCTTTTATTGTTGCATATGTGTTATGTATCTGTGTCTCAGTTCTATAAAAGTTTCTATCATGTTGCATTGTTTTGTTAGATGGAATGGATTTCCGTTATACAGGGTGTTTGTTTTTATTCTTAGATTTGTTTAAAAGAATCCGTGTAAGCTACACTAATGCGGTTTGTGGAGGTGCAGGGCACATCGAAGAAATTGTACATTCTCTCAGCCCCCTCTCCACTCTGCAGTTTTATCAGCGTCTAGGTAAAGCAGCATGCATCGAAAGCTACGCGTTCCGGCCTTCTCGTTGCATTCCGTCGGATAATACTTTAGGAGCGGCATGGAAAGTTATTTATGGGAGAAAAATGTATTAAGCGTGGAAAACCTATGCTGCTGAGCGGAATAGGCTGGGACAGTAGTTTCTTCTCTCCAAAAAACCTCATATTAAACATTAAAAAATAAATTCGTACGGGTGACTTAGCCACCGGGAGAAATACACGTATTGATAGCAAACCGCTCCTGGAATCGAACCAACCTCTGCGCCGGCTAAAATAATGTCCCCCGTTTCGCGATGCAGTTACCGCATGCCGATACTCTCCGTGATGCATGGTTATGTCCAATTGTAAGAAGGTGATGTACATCATTAAACATCAGTTTTTTTCTTGATTTCTTCAAAACGACTTTTTAATATCACGCAGGAATGTAAAAGGTAAACGATCGCTTATTAGAATCTATGTTCCATGCATGGCAAAATATTAAACATAAAGATTGATACCATTTTTTTTTTGTAACGCAGATTGATTGACATTTGCCTGAAAACCCTACGCAGCTCGTTTGACGTTTTAGACCGCGTAAACTTTCATACGTGTGCACGAACCACATAAATATAAGCAACCGAAACTTATTTTTATCGTTTTTACAAACACAGTTTGAAATTATTTTTTCTGTACTTCTCTGTGCTCTCTTCCATTTTAAGTCCGACCGAAGCAGGCGACACTATCCGACGGTGCCAATCAAGCAGCGCAAAAAGCGCATCGTCACGGCGCTCATTCCGTTTCTGCGTTTGCTCTCATCGAATGAACCAATGGACCTTTTCCGAGAAGCGTTCTGCGCACGCGCGGGCGCCCGATGCCAAGCGGCGGAAGTCGGAACGAAAAATCGAGGAAATTCGGAAGGAGGCTGTATATCAGCGAGTAGAACACGTAACTGCAGCATATATATAATTGTGTTACACACACACACAAAAAAAAAAAGAACGTCGACCGTCGACGGAAAGGAAAACACGACGTTTGGGTGGACGCCACGGATGCTCCTCTTTAAACTCGCGTTGGGCTGGCGCCGCTGCTCAGAGAGCGAAAAAACTGGTAGCGTAGCTCCCATTATCGATTGGTAACGCAGGTAGGTCACTTCCTCGATTTTTAGTTCTTGCAGCCACCGCCTGGTGCCGTCGGTATGTGGAAAAGGTCCATTGGTTCAGTCGCTATTCTGCGATTTTTATTTTAAGCGATTGGTTTAACCGAGAAGAGCAATCTCACGAAAACAAAGAGCGCCGTGACGAGGCATTATTTGCGCAGCTCGATTGAGTTGATGATGTGCTTAGTGTCGGCTGTCGCAGTACTTAAAAAGGTAACGAAGTAGATTTCACCAAATAAAGTCGTACAAATAGTTGCTAACATCAATTCGTATGGGCAAACGGCAAAAAAAAAAAAAAAGTGACAGCATCATACACGAGCTACTTATGCTGCTCACTGTAAAAACAAAACGAAATAACAGGACAGTTGTCAGCCATAATTTGCTACAAAAAAGAGGAAACAAGGTTCCGCCCAACTTACGACCGCCTTCGGTGGAAGCGGTCAGGAGGTGTCCCTCGGGTCCCCTACCGACGTCGCTCGCAGCGCGCATGCGTAGCTGATGCCGCGTGCCACATGCCAGACCAGAAAGGGCGAAGCCATTGCGGTCCGAGCCGACGGATTGCTCTCGCCACTGCTCCTCCGCTGCGCCGTCGACTCTCCACAAGATGTAGTAAGCTGTGCGAGAGAAGCCAACAACTTCTGCAACATAGTATACTGTTTTTCTTTATCATGCTCCCAGTGGTACACTCAGTATGCCTATAAGAAGATTTAAAGCCCTCCTCAACTTAAAATAGTCAATCGGATATTTTATATAACAGGCGCAAAAACAAAGATTTAATTTGAACGAAGAGTATGGTGCAAAACGGTGAATACCTATATTATGTCACATAGAAGGATGAATAACACTGATGATGATACGCGAGTAGTGTATCAAGTGACATATCAAACGCATTTTATGTGTTATTTTGATCGCTCATGTCAATCATTGCTTGAGCATTGCAGGTAGACCTATATTGCGAGCCACTCCAATCCTCTTGAATTGAACTCCCACCCCCCCTTTTTTTTAGATTGAATTTTACTTTGTGATATTTGCCGCGTAGCTTCGTGTCTGTGACATATTTTAACAATGTGTAAGATTTTCAAGAGCTGGCTTAAAGTCAAATGACGCTGTCGCACGAGACTTGTGATTGTGGCGCCATCTCTCCATGGGCACAGCAAGCAGCATGCCGCACATGCTCAAAGACGTCGCCTGCTTTTGTAACCTATCACGAGATGGCGCAGCGAGCCCGCTTCTCGGGCAATCAGTCGTCGTCTTTGGTTTGGGGTCGGCCTGAAAATGTTACGCATGTTGCTCCGCTTGATTAATCTAATTTGCTCGTTTCGGCAGCCAGCTCCTCCATTCATGTTATTAAAAAAAGGTATAATGGTTCAAGCTTGCTCACTTCGAATGGGTGGGTCGTCCAAGCTGATTGTGGGGTGCTCCCAAACGAGTGAGATGGTCCGCGCTGAGGTGCCAGCGACGCGGTAGGTTGGTGGCGGTGGGGGATCTGAAATCAGAGAAACGAAGTGTACTTAAAGGCCCACGAACCACCGGAAAGGAGGAAACTCTCCCACAATTCCTTATTTTCCTTTGAGTAAGAGGGAAACCCTCTTCCTTTCTGCTAGGAGCAGCGCAAAAATCCGCTCTTATAAGGAGAGGAGGGGAAAGGAGTCCGAGTAGGAGTGGGGAGAAGGAAACTGGAAACGGTTTGCGTCCAAAAAAAGAGTATTCTGTAGGTTGGCCTTTAAACAAAGACCAAATATTAGTTGACAGTTGTTCCGGAGTAAGCCGCAACCCCTCCCAAAAGCAACTAAAACAAGAAAAAAACGACGTGGGAGGCCACTCGTACCATATAGAGCCAACAGGGAGCTTTAGAATAGGGACCCCAACGTCCTGTATCCTGCAGAGATCTTCCGAGTCAAACTGCGCAAGCGCAGAATTTCTGCGCAAGAGCAGTGCTAAGCCCAAAGCTGGATACTGTTCCGAAAGCGTGGAGGCCTTGTATTCTAAAACTTTGTAGAGACAGCTTAAGAAACGTAAGGAACATTTGCGGCCAATAAGGGCACGGCATTGGGAAACGATGACTCTCAAGAAAGGATATCGAATTGAGATGCGTGAACTTGTCAAGCAACGACCCGCATCTTTTCGTCAGTTACTGACTTCAGATGACACACACACCAAGCCATTTAACTGAAAACGGCACACTGTGCCGAATATCTCACCATAAAGCTTTACGTACCCGCAGTTCTAGCTCAGACTGATTGTTATTTCGGAAATCCGCGCGGTCTCCGTGATGGCTAAGGTGATGTGTTCATTGCGAACGACGAACGGTCTTACATTCGAATACCCAAGGCTACTCAGTCGACACGTTCATTAAAGCGCAGGAGCTCTCACCTTCGATACTGCCAAGACCATGGGCGTACCAATCGGGGGGCAAGGGCGGCACTTGCCCCGCCTTCCCCCCAGTTCTAATAAGGGGGGGGGGGGGGAGGGGGGGATCAAGGCATATGTTTGCACCCCCCCCCCCCCCTGAAACAGCCGCCACTGGGCAGGGCAAGCACTGGCCGGCGGCGCCCAAGGGATGCCTAGGGCACCGTCCCCGGGCTTTTGGGGGGGGGGGGGGGGAAGGGGGGGATCTGGTTTGCCCCCCCCCCCCCCCATTCAAGAAACAAATTGGTACGCCACTGGTGAAGGTGTATAAAATGAGATCCGTCATTCGCACAGCCACTCTAAGGCAGAACAGTATGCCTGCAGGCTTCTCTGCCATTGTACACTTTCAGAGCTTCTTTAATGCATACCATGCCACGGTGCATCCTCATCACCAGTCATGAATCTGTCCTTAAAAACCTAATTCATTTTGAAGCGCAACTGATGTATTTCTGAAATTGTGAGGCCTCATCGGTTGAGGAGGAGAACTTCTTTTTTTTTTTTTTTGTCTCTGAGAATGTATACCCATTAGGGCGAAATACCGCCCGCCTATACCGCGGCTAATCTAATTTTAAAATAATTATCTTATATTGAGTACATTATGACGCAGCGGTAATGCCAATTGCAAGACGGTAGGGCTTCACCTTATGCATTCGTCCTCATTAAACGGTTGTCTTTTACAAATTGATATCATTGAAACCAGGTTCCGCAAACTCCCGGAGAGGCAGCGATTGAGCGTACGCTTTCCAAAATGCCTATAATTAAAAACTCCTTATTTTAAAGTTTAAGTTTGAGGGTAGCAGAAGCTACAATAGCCAGCCGGCCTGCTCGCGCAGTACAGGCTTTGTTCAAGGCAGAGTTGTATATGTAGAGAATTTGATCAAGAATTGGTAAGAAAAGGGCAAAAATTGGGTACGTCATTGGCCGAAATTGTTTCAATGACCTTGGATGCGATAATTAACAGCTCTTATGACCAACTACTAGCATCAAATCTCACCCTTGCGGAGGAAATTAGCTTAACAAATACCTTCCAATTACAATTTCTAGGTAAGGACGTATTAAAATGTTTCATTTCAGCACACTAAGTTGAAATTCGCGACTTTTCGTAAATGAAATTGCAACGCACGTGACGCTGTCGTCACGTCCTGCGGCCACGACGGGGTGGGCAGTAAAAGCTGGAGATTTGGCTCCGTGGGATTTGTGGCCCAAACCAGGAACGGGCACCCCACAGTCGCAGTGTCGCTTCATGCTTCAGAATATTTTTCGCGCCAATGTCACCTTTTCTGGCACTGTAAACGCACTCAGCACATTGAAACTCAACTTTTTCACGAATTTCTCACAATTATACATTTATGCAGTCTGAGCCGCATCCACAAATAAAAAAAATACCTGCAACGCGCTAGGCGAATTCTTCAAGGCCCATCCCAGGGAATTCTTACTTCGCAAGCTAATCCCGGGGGGAAATATGCGGCGCTAGCGGCGCCCCGACTTTCGCCGCTCCACCACCGACTTTCGCCGGCTCCTCTCTTTGACCAAACTGTCTTTATACACGGCTTAGTGTTCAGAGTAACCAACTCGTGCTTTTAGTTTCGACATCCCCCGGATGAAATTAAATAGAGTTGCTACCTTTCTGCAAACAGAACACTCAGGGGGCGTTTAATCACTGCAAAATGTATGGAGTGAGCCCCCTGGCTAACAAGGCCAAAAATAAGCGTGTACACAAAGAAGAGGCCAGCGATGTGATATATTGTTAAAACATCAAGCTTGTCTTCATATGGCTTAGTATCAGATTGAAAAGCTTATTTATAGGTCCAAACGTACTTCCATCCGCGTCTTTCCCCATGTCCCCTCCGTTGATGATAATGCCTGGTTGCTAGAGCTCCTAACCGGCACGTTGACGCACGGACAATTGCTTTTGTGTAATGTCAGAACACATAAAGGATGTATACAAAAAAAAAAACTAAGATAAGTGAGGGTGCATGGAAAAACAAGACATTCCGGCGAGCTAGAGAACTTTCAACGTCTTCAACTGCAGAGACTTCAGATTTCTGTGTGTCTTGTCCACTTAGTTTTGTTCCCAGGTCTCGGGTCTTGGAAACATTGAGAGTGCTTAAATTCCATAATTTAGCTGGGGCACACATAACATGAGGCAGCCTCTCTATACTTGTTACGTCTTGCCGGTAATTTTACGTTTCGCCGCTATATTTAGGGGATAATTTGCGGAATGCACTTTTTTGTTACACTTTTGGCGTGACATCTGTGTTTAAAGCCTTATCCCTACCACATGGTGTGAATAAACTGCTCGCGTCGTTTCAAACTAACAATACTGAGAAGAAAAGGTCAGTGCATGACGTCCTCATTAGTGGATGCTCGAGAAGCGGGGAACAGGTTTAAGCATGACTAGAGTACGCCGCAAAGTAGAGGATGCATTCCACAGGTGTCGCTACGTGCTACCGTCGCGATCGTTGTAAGACGCTGCAAGCCGCACTGGCGTTGACACTGACGCGAGCTAGGCGTAGCTGCGTGGGTCCGCTAGTTATGACATATGGGAAGGAGAGGTGCAGGCCTTGTCTTCTATTTGGTATTGCTCAAACACTGCAGCAGCTTGCTCGTCCGTCCGATGTCGGCTGTTGGGCGTACAGACCTGCGACCAGTGTGCGGACGGCGTGGGTCCTGGAAGGTGGTCCGGGGCCCTTGGCGTTGTAGGCCTGCACCTGAACCTCGTAGAGCGTGTCCCTGTCCAGACCGGACACGACGCCCACGCGCTCGTGCAGAGTCTGGTAGCGCAGCGGTTCCGGCGACCCGTCTCGCCGGTACGCCACGTAGTAGCCATCCACGCGGCCGGCACCGGACACATCCTGGGGACATCGGATTGAGACGCGACAGGACATTAAAACAGTGGAAAGTACAAGCACGAGCTGGTCAGGAAGCCTCGTATACTAACCCTTCAGACTGATTTTGCGTCGTTTGATTCAGTAAAAGCACAGAATCTCTTATGTTATCACTAAGACGACTGAACGGCGAAAGCCCGAGCGCCGATGCATTAAAGACAGACACATGATTTATGGATGTGGTGGTACCCCTCCATAAATAGTTCAGCAGTCTAACGCGGAGGGGTACCGTGCCGGACTACTGCAGGAAAGGTCGCTGGTTCGACGCCAGCCGAGGGACAAGAGCGAAAAATCTTTTCAGAGGAATATAGAGCGTCCGCCGATTCGGGAACAAGTACCACCACCTCGTGGTCCAGTGGCGAACCATGGGTTTCGGTAACTTTCCTGTCGCCGGTTTTCGTACCTTTAGTGTCTCGACGTGTTTTCGCCCAATAAATTTAAAGGTCGAGTAAACGATGAGACATTAAGGCTTTTGCCTTAATAAATGGAACTGTATTTTTCCTGGCCAAAAAATCATGGAACTCCGTGCGTCCGCCTCTCGCGGCTCAATTTCTGAGCTTAGTGGAAAAATATGAATTCGATGTAAAGAGATCAATTAAATATCGCTGCTAAATTTAGCACGAAGTGTTCCCCCGCTATATCTATTTGTAAAACCATGATTGGTGTAAAATTTACACCAATTAAATGTTCCTTCAAAATTTAGAGCGAACCTTGCTCTCATTTTATAAAACAGAAAAATTATTATTCACGGAATACATTTAGAAACAAAATTGCCGTAAGAAGCGTAAACGGGCTCATGCACCTCGAAAACGTCAAGATTGGCGGACAAAGAAAAACGTGCAAATCGTTCCATATGTTGCAGCATTGTATCTGCTTTGGAAAGTCCTATGTAAAAGGTGTCCTTTTTTCGTTGTCTCGGGGACTAGTGCATTATATTTTGATGCGTCGTAAGGTAGCAAAGTTTAGAAAGTACTGGCTTATATAATTCTCATAATATATTGTTAACTTAAAGTATGTGTGTCTGTTTGCGTCTGTTTTTAATAAGATTGTGGAGTTCCAAAGCTGCTTACCTCGAACTTTACTTCAAATGTCCGGGAGTCTACAGCAGTAAGTTGAACGTTCGTGGGGGCATTCCGAGGCGCTAGAAAACAAATATGAAATATCGCTCAAAACCGGCTTCCACGCGCTCGTTTTATAGCATATGGGCACCGAAACAAAAAATGAAGTTTCTATTAAGTTACGATCTTTGCTATAGCAATTTGCACGCAGTCAAATTCTGGCATACCCCAGCAGCTTTCACGTGATTTACACCTTAGCAGTAGAATTTAAAGGTAGCTGTGGTTTGAGGTATAGAGCGGGGATTTAGGCTGAAAATAATACTTTTGTATTGTTTTTTTTCTCCGGGATTACAGGTGTTTAGAGCTGGATATATGAAACCTAAACACTTCCGGGGCGGTTAACTTAGATTGAAGATAAATATATTGCGTGTCATTTTTGTTTTTCTGCATTGCATTTTTCTATTTCTTACGCCGACGCTTTCTTTCCATAATAATTAAAAAAAATTAATTTTTTGTTCATGCGTGTTTTTATGAGCCACAACGCACAAAAACTATTGCTGCAGTTCTCAATGTATGTATACTCATGAAACTTAGCTTTGGACACCAATCCTAATTCAACGTGAATGAAACACAAGTACTAAACACTTGCTCTTCCCCGTAGAAACACAATAGTTATGACAATAATGAATTCACTTAAAACACATTTACCACTCTACCACATGGAATTACAACATTGAATATTTAACGAAAAACCTTTCTCAAGTTGTGGGGGCAGTTGCTAGGTGCCGAAGTTTTTTGCCACTAAACATGAAGCTAAAAATATAATACGCGTCTTATTCGATCCCCATTTGAAATACTGTCACTTTGTATGGGGAGCAACTACAGAGACAAAATTAAATAGCATTCGATTACTTTAAAAAAATATTGAGTTATATTGCGGATGTTTCTCATAACTTTCCTACTGAATCCTTATTTCATAACTATAAAGTAATTCGTGTCGAACACTCCTATGAGTTCCTTATACTTCATTCAATGCGCTTCTGATTTTATTCGTTTGTGAATTTTTTATAACGCACTTCCGAACTAACTTTACATGAAACCACTATCAATTCATGTTATCCAGAGAAACGGTTGGTTTCTCGAAATCGGACCAACTATAGTCTTCATTCACTTCACCTACAACATTCCAACATTCTTAAATTAATGGCATCTTCATAGTAGCATTGTTTTCACTCTTCCTAAAAATAAACTTCGCGCACGCTTTGCTTAAAGTCATAAATTTCTTTTTGGAAATTTACATTTTGGCTTGACGTTGTGGTAAACTCTATAGTGTGAAAATATGTATTAATTTGTAATATTATACTTAACAGACTGCATTATATTTGTTTCGTGAAGTTGCTGCTGTCCTTGTTACGGGACCACAGCTGCTTATATAGCAGGTTTTTGTCTGGAGGTCCCTCTAGTGTATACCTGAAAAAATGAAGTTTGAATTGAATGGAATTAATTGTGTTGTAGTGGAACAGTTGAACATAATACACTAAATAATTCATTTGCTTATTTCTGTTTTAGTATTCTGCCCTAAAATGTTCCAGAAAAAGCAGGCTTCATTCATTTTCTTACGTTCATCATCGGTTTGTACTTCCAAGGTTCCGGTGTAGCGGCCAGCTCCAAGTCTATTTTCTGCCCTCAGCTGAAACAGGTAGGACGTGGACGGCTCCAGACCTCGTACCGTAACCTTGGTCTCCGTCCCGGATACGGAGACGCTGTCTTCCCAGGAACCTGGAAGAAGGAGGCGTATTTTAAATGTGAGTGCTTGTTTCAGAGGTTTGGAATCGGTATAAAGGCTTCGCATTTTCGGGAACCTGCAATCTAATTACTTTTGTGGTTACCACTAGCATATATACCATGTATAACAGTAAAATGTAACAAATAAAAAAGGAAGGAAGTAAACCAGTGTCGCTGGTAACAGGTTACTAGCAACGGCATTACCGGGAAAAGGTTACTTTTTCCGGTAACGTTTTAGCGTACTCGTTACTTTTTTCAAAATGGTAAAGGGTAAGGTACTAGCGTTACTTATTTTGAAGTAACGTGCCTGATTGATGTAACGTGCGTGACTAAATATAGTAACGTGCCTGATGAGTAACGTGCGTGACTAAATATATATATATATATATATATATATATATATATATATATATATATATCAGTTCAATGTTTTTCTTGCTTTTAGGCGCCAAGTCATATAAATGTATGTTTTGGGTTTTTCGTTGCGTTTTTTCTTGTGAGTATTTTGGTGAAACCGTAAGAACGTCAAGGTAATCATGTTCAGTTTCTGAATGGGCATAATATTTCTTGACATATGGCGCTAATAAATACCTGCAACGTCGAAAAAATGAAACTTGTGAATTCATAATTTAAAAAAGTAACGCAAAAGTACCATGCGTTACTTTTTAACGGTAACGGCAATGGTAACGGTAACGTGTTCCCTTTTATATTTGCGTAGGTCGGTAATTCGTCGCTTTAATTTGCAAGTAACGAGTAACGTATTTTGTTAGTTTTTTTCGGTACCGCCTACAACACTGAGAGGGACACACGTATATCATAAAATCTGTTGTTACGCACAATAATAAAGCTTATGTTGCTCAATTTTCGACAATTTATGGCCTCAATTTATGCTATATTAGGGTTCCTGTGATTGTACTTCCGCAATCTTTTGCTTAGTTGTATTTATAATTTCTTCACATAAAGAAGTACTTCCTAGATAATATAAGAACAAATCCATGCCAAACATCTTAGGTAGTTTGCAACGCGACCTTCTATAACATCTGAACATATTGCACCCTGTAACCTTTGGTAAGAAATAAACCTTTCTGTGTAATAAACTGCAACTAGATATGCCTAATATTTGTAGATCTTCTTGCGCCACAAATACTTCAGATGTCAAGCTGTATTTTGATATAAAATTTTCATTCAAATTCATTTTATATTCTCATTTCAACATGAAACTAGAAAAGAGTTTAGGAGAAAGAGCTGATCGCGGAGCTTGACATCGTCATCGCCCCCCCCCCCCCTTTAGAAGACAGTGGCAGCAGGAAAAAAAAATTAAGTAGTTTATAATTAATACTTTCAGACTATACATAGTGTGCCAGGAGCTAAGAACATGAAGAAAAATAAATCACGCACAAAATATTATGTGTTGTTTCGAAATATTCCCATATAAATCATTTGCTGAGTAGTATATATTAAAAAAGATGCACAGAAACATAAATTATTTTGTGTAAAGTGATACTATTAAAAAGAAATTATATTAAAGTGCAGCAACTAAGAAAAAGTACCGTAAGGGTAAAGGCAAAATAAAGTACATAATTTATATCCAACAACAAATAACAAACAACACCAACGCCCTACGTCGGCCTCAATTTCGCCTTGTTTTGTTCATGTCAAAATTTATGTTTGTGTGAAGCTTCTTATTCATTTAAGGAAAGCTCTATATGTATCTTGGTAGTTACTTGCAAGGTGATTTAACAGTTGTGGTAAAGTGGGAGTCAGAATCTGATTTCCGTATGATGTTTTATTAGTGGTCATTCACCAGCATTCCCCTCCTTGGATTATATTTTGTCAAGTTTCATAATTCTGAAATCGTTTCAGCATGCATGTACGAGGGGGAACCCAAAAGTAACCGGGATGAATTTCTGGAGGGCGGGGTGTTCGTAGTACCAGCTTCCGCCGCCAGTAATACTTAGCGGCATCTCTCCGAGTAAGTTTGCCGACCGGCGTCATCTGCTAAAGTTCTGTCTGCATGTTGTGATTTTTCCCAAACGCCTCAAGATCATTCATTTTTTTTAAATGTCTGATTTGAAGGACCTTTTACATTCCCAAAACGATTTCTTTTCAAAACATTTTTTTTCATATGGGAGAATAGAAAGAAGCCACAGCAAAGGCGGCAGCGCACCGAACTGGAAGACTATTCGCGACCGCTACCTTTGCAGGCCTCGTCATACAGATAGCACGGGCCATTCGCCAACGCTTCTAATATTTATAATTATAATGCAATGAAATGCAAAGGTGCAAGCGAACTGTACAAGAATGGCGAAATTAATCCCTGGCGAAGAAGAACAAGAGGGACAAAGGACAAACATAAATCTCCAAACACAGCTAGGGGACTTGTGAGCGACCGAAAAGCCACCGCCTGGTCCGGGTATCGAACCCGGGACCTCTCCAGTGCAGGTGGAGCGCTCTACCAACTGAGCTAACCAGGGGTTAGACGTCACTAGAGCAAACGGGTTTTATCAACCGCCACCAGACTCACACCAACAAGAATGAAGCTTGCAAATTTAAGGTTATAATTATAATGCAATTAAAAGCAAAGGTGCAAGCGAGCTCCACAAGAATGACGAAAATAATCCCTGGAGAAGACGAACAGGAGGGACAAAGGAGAAACATTAATCTGCAGCCAAACCGCAGAGGGGCCGAAGACCCATGGTGGGTGGCCTGCAGACAACCAAATTAAGAACGAGAGAAATGTACCGGGACATGGCCCCTGTTGCGATTGGCCAACTCTGCACCGCTGACTAATATTAGCGAGTTTCGATGTCCCAGTTCCTTGGTCCCGCCGTGTAGATTACGGCCCTTTGGGCCCTCATCTAGACTGTTGGCGAAAAAGTCGACGAGGAATTCAACCTCCGCTACTGCTCAACGCCAAGGTCAAATGCGGCTCTGGCCAGTCGCAGCTGCTGAATTCCTCGCCGACGCTTTCTCCAAGTTTCCATGCTAGAGCCCCTGGTTAGACACAACTGAGAAATAGGCTTCTACCGGGTGATTCAAGGAGACGGCAGGCTCTTTAAATCGACCGGAAAATTCGGTTTCCTAACCTATCGCGCTACGACTTTGTGCAGCGTTGCCCACAGATGGTGCTTTTTTTTTTTGTAAAATTTGCAAAAAGCGAACTTACGTGAGGAAAAAGTAAAGAAAGATAAAGGCTTAGCTCCTATGCAAACGCAGCGACGCCACCGGTCTTCAAACAACACGGCGCCGTTTCGCACGGGACACAAGAGATGGCGCAACGAACGCCGCAAACGAACGAGCATACGGCGCCGAGAGCCAGCGTCTTTAGCAGACAACCTTTTCGACTGAAAAACGGCGCGCGTTTCGCGGGCGGCGACAGTCACAGAAACAAAAACAGGCGCGGTAACAGCAAAGAACTGCAGTATCTTGTCTGCTAAATACGCCGGCTCTCGGCGTCGTCTGCTCGTTCGTTTGCGGTAGTTGGCGTCGCGACCGCTTGCGCCATCTCTTCTCTCCCGTGCGAAACGGCCCCGTGTTGTTTGCAGACCGGTGGCGTCGCTGCGTTTCCATAGGAGCTAAGCCTTTTTCTTACTTTACTTTTTTTTCAGGTAAGTTCGCTCTTTGCAAATTAAAAAAAAAAAGAAAATGCACCATCTGTGGGCAACGCTGCACAAAGTCGTAGCGCGATAGTTTAAGAAACCGAATTTTCCGGTCGATTTAAAGAGCCGGCCGTCTCCTTGAATCACCCGGTAGAATGAATGTGGTTTCCCAGAGAAGTGTTTTCTTTCCCCTTTCTGTTTTGTTCTACGATGTTTCCCCTATTGACCGCAATTAGCTAACATTTTTTTTTTCTTTCTTTTTATCGCTCCAACGCTTCTCGTACATAAGGCATCACGCGGCCGCTGAAGCAGACGGGCGGCGAGAGAAAGAGAGGGCACCGTAGCGACACCTCCTAGACTGGGAAGGCCTCAGTGCTTGGGTGTCGGGAGGCAAAGATGGCGGAGTCTAGGACGTGTTGAACACTGATCTCCGCTATAGGGGGCTGGATGGCGCATTGAGCAGACAGGTATGAAGCCACCGGAAGAAAGCAACTTTTCCTGGAAGTAAGCAGCTCACAGGCTTTTCAACTCCTAAAGTTCCTCTAAAATCATACCTTGCAAAAACAAAAAAACCGATGAATGATTTTAGCTTGGGACAGAAATCCACAGCATGCCGCTTGAACTTAAGCAGAGAACAGCGGTCTGCAAACTAACTCGGAATGGGTGCCGCTAACCGTTGCTAACGGCGGACACTGGTACTATGAACGGACCGCGCTCCAGAAATCCATTCAGCTACATTTGGGTAAGCCCTCGCATGTTTGATTTCCGTAGCCGGAGATAAGTTTATAGCTATACAAGTTATAAACTGTTAATAAATCAAGCCGTCTAAACAATTCCTCCGTACATGAGTCGTATGGGACACTATAGATCACGCGCAACTTTTAGTGTTTGAAGCGATAAATTTCGTTTAGGTCTGTCACCGTGGTCGTGCCCAGACGAGATGTGAGGAGTTGAGATACAAACAAAGAAAACGCCTACATATATAGGATACTCTTGGCGAAGAGCAGTAGGCCGAACCACGTTCTATGCATTACAATATCGAATAAATCGAACATTCCAGGACGTATGTCTGGAAACACTTTTATAATATTTTTTTTTTACAGAAATGGTACAAAGTAAACGTGATATAGCCGAAATGAAAGTGTGATAAAAAACCTCTGTATTATAAAACAAAATGAAAAAATGGTCAGATATCTAGCACTCTGAAGCATTGTGATTACTAATAAACATGATACCCGAAATAAACTTAGCAGATACAGAGCTTTTAGTTACTACTTCAAATAATTCACTATAACAAAACAGAGTTATTTTTAATTGCCGAATATACTCAAAGCAACGACAAACTCCATGGAAAGCTTGAACTTGGTAAAGGCAAAACGAACAACAGCCATTACCTCACTCCGTTTTTACGGTAGCTCTCTAAACGACGCTTTTTGGCTCTCCTTTTATGCCCACCTTCTTTGTTGGTCCAGCGTAGCAGGTACTGTGTGATGGGCAGGTTTCCTCCGAATGGCTCGATCCAACTCAGACGAACATATCGACTAGAAGCCTCGCCCACCTCGACGTCTGCCGGAACGTCCGGAACATCTGGAAGAAATAGTTGAACAAAAGAAGGAGCTGAGGAACGGAGATAATGACCCAAGTAGCGGGGTGGAACACGCATCCAAGCCGGCAGAGGCAAAACGTCCGCTAGAGCTGTAAGGGCTGTGCTTACGCGACTAATATAATATAGGGGAAAGTAGACGTACGTGTGCATTAATTAGACTGTATAATGTAAACAAAAAAGCGTGGTCCAGATGTCATTTTATCGGGTTCATCAAACACATAAGGTGAAGAAAATGTTCGGATAGGATTTTCTCCAAACGACTTTATTTGTTCCCTACTCACATCCGGACGCAAACGTACGCCAAATTCACAAGAACTCACCTGTATCGAATGCTATGTCTGCATCGGCTTTGACAGTTTTGCCCAACCGTTCCATGACAAACATTATAAATAGGTGTTGCTCTAATTAACCTCAATAGTTCGAAAAATATAAACTTCTGGAAGTAGTAACTGGGAAGCAAGTAAGATCCTGCTGCCCCACCCTGCCCTCCTCCTATTAAAATCTACAAGTTAATAAATTTTACTTCAATACAAAGGCAACTTCTCCTTCCTCTAAAAAGCGCAAATAGTTTGGAAGCTGTAAAGTGGCTTTTGTCGTGACCCAGAAGTGCAATGAATCGTTCTGAATGAACCTTGACGAGATTAACGGCGAACTCCCTTTGATAGTCTGAAATTTCAAGGAAAGCTGAAATGTCTCTTCTCAAGAACAGTTACCTTGTGCTATCACGCAATTGATTCAATACCGTCTTATTTTGCTTTTATTTTGCCATCCTGAGCTTCAAATTCCGTGATCTTAGTATAAATACGAATGCAAAAAAATTATTTTTACCGACGAGTGTTTTTTGTATTCATCCTAAACACGGAACCCTACCGATAACAGGATATCAAATCCACTGCCTTGGTTGATAAATAATATTCAGCCATACGTATTTAATCGGAAAAAAAAAATTGAAAAACGTATTACATTGATGTCTATCATGTACCTAGACGACTATGCCGTATGAAAGATTTTCATTACGACAGGTGTGATCCCAAGTTGTTATCTAAAAGCAACAAAAAAACGGTTTATTTTTGCCCCGTAGTGCGCAAGTGTAATTTTGGATATATTATATATATATATAATACCAACTGAATGGAAACAGTATAAATACATTTTTGAGCTTTTTATTTCGGAGGTTCTAGCATATTAACCTGAGAGAGCAATTCTGTTTTTTTTATCTCAGCTAATAAGCTTTATTATCATAGTTAATATGCTAAGCATTCGTCGTGATCATCCCACTGCATATGTTCCAACAGCAAATGATACCTAGCATTTTAAGCTGATTTACTATTTCAATCCGGCTCCTACCAATATTTACAGTCTAACTGATATCAGTGCACTTATTTATGGATATAAATACAATATATTTTGAATTGGCCTAATTTATTTTCAGTCCATTCTCTTCTCTCTCTAAAAGTAATGTCAAGACAGCATTTGCGTTAACTCTAAGTTCATTCATATTCGTCCCAGAGAGAATCATACAAGTGTCGTCAGCATTCATGACAACACGTGACTGTTGGCAAACATAAACTTTATCATTAATGTAAACATTGAATATTAGCGGGCCAAATTTACTTTGCTGATGCACACCCGACGTTTAGAGTAGAAAAGAACAATTACAATTACCTGGCCGCTTAAATAACAAACATTAAATCTTTCTAGTGCATTCCTAAAAAGTTTGCAAAAACAGACTTCCAGTAAATCCAAACTATCCATTTTGCATATCTTAAGATGATTGTTTTTGGCGTTTCGCATTAGGTCAACTTTGTTTCCTCGTCATTTGTGACGAGGTTTGTTTAGTTCGTTATTTTAGTTTTTTTACCTATTGTAACAACTTTCCTAAACCAGGAGAGTTTCTAGAATATAAGTAAATGTATAAAATATTATAAATCAACAATATTTGCCCCAGACTACAGCAAAAGAAAAAGGCTTCAGATGGAAAACTGACTGTAGTAAGGTTAAACAGATGGTAGTTCATTGATGTGCAGTTCAATAAAAGCTTGTTTTTAAAGTTATTAAGGTTGAGAGCAAGAGAAGGCGAACTAATTACGTGTGGAAACAAGGAACGGCGTGTGGTTTCCTGTACTATAAAAGATCAGATGTCACATTCGGCGAGGGGAACGAGGAAGAATACGAGACAGACGATATTGAATTGTTAACACTAGAGAGAGGAAAAACAAAATAAAAGAAGGGGAATGATTCTTATTGGAAAAGCTAGAATTGGCAAGATATTGTTACTTTGACTCTTTTTTTTTTCAATCCGTGACTTACTCAAAAGTGGAAATCTTAGTGCTCAGTGGCTAACCTCGGGTATTTTATCTGAACCCTGTCGTGTTGCTGCTGTTTTCTGCGTACACTGTTGATGATTCACGTCGTACTACATTTTCTGCAAATGATTGCTTTTCAAACCGTTTAGTTTTGGAGGTCATTGTGTCATAGGCACTGCTAAGCAAGAAACCAGCTATACTACAGTCAGGTTTTTTCCCGCTATCATGTACGTAATTTTCATATGTAGTCCCAGTCTTGTCTGAACTGTGTTTTCAGATTATTGGTACTTTCTTTTGTTTTCTTTAAACAGCTTTTTAATCCCGTAAAAGCTCGATAGTGGGGTGAGAGTATTAATAAATTCATAAAGGACAAAATAAAGCGTTTTACTATTTCGCGAAACGTTGGTGAGTTCAAAAAGCACACTAACTTTCCGTCAGTCTACAAACATCAGCTAATTTAATGAAGAAAAAAAAGAGCCTTAACGGTTGTCGTGTTCGTTATTTCCAAGTATTTTTTCATCCCATTAGCATAAAATAGTTGACATCGTACCCTTCCCAGAAGTTCGAAAAGCAACTTTGTTTAGCATGGTACTCAGAAAGATTTCAGTACAAAGATACAGAACCGTCGGTCTCTCTTTCTATTTTTCTCTCTCTCTCCCTCTTTGTCGGTCATTCTCCAGGAACACTAATCGTTGTGATGTATATGTGATACCTGCCATATAAAGCAGAGCGTACCTTAGAAAAACGCAGATTTTCGACATTCACCTACCTTGAACAACCACTTGGATACTCGTTGTATCCTCCCCGTAGTCGTTGGAGGCATGGCACGTGAACATGGCGTTATCTGTCTTTTGCACATCAACAATTGTAAGCCTTGACCTTGGCCTCTTCAACTCCTCGTGTTCCCTCTGAGAATACCTGCGTCACATTTCACAAGTTCCATCCGTTTTTCTCTTCAGCATCACAATCCCCAGGGTGCGAGTCCACAGCGCCGCAGCGGAATACCAATATTTGACCTCTCTTTAAGCAGTTCAACCACCCAGAGGGGTAATATAGAATAGCTCATACCCTTAACGTTGGCACAGGTGATAGCTAGATGAATAATGATTTCGTTCTCAGTTTATTGCAGGATGGAACATCACCTCCAAACGAACATCACCTCCAAACAAACAATGTCATAATGTTCGATCTCCTACGTAGCCTATCGGTTGCCTTTGCAGGGCGCAGTTCAAAGTAAACTGATGCGTCAGCTTTCGCCAGTCTCAGCCAAACGCTGAGGCTGCAGTCCCGCAAGTGACGCGGCAAATTCAGCGCCTCGCCCTCCTTAACTCTAAGGTATTGAACAGGCACGTTTTAGGGAACTCAGTGTTCCTAACACTGAGTTCCTTAATTTTATGGGCTGTTCTAGTAGTCGCCACTTAAGAGCTCCTATCCTTAGCAACTGAGCAACGATGGCATCACTCTGAGCATGCGGAGATGCCCCTGTCTCCGAAATATTGTACGCCGTGCCTGCGCCGTACAGAGCAGTAACAAGACATATACTAGGGTGGGCGATAGGCGTTAGAACGTTTTATACATCTATCCCCACTCAGTAACCAAGATCTTCACCAGCATGCACTATGCATTATGAATAGGGTTCTGTGTTTATGAACAAGTTTGGAAAGCTCCGAAAAATCCTCGTCAGTATAATTTTCGACAGTTCGGATTAATCTGAAAACCTCCGAATTTCGAGTTTTGAACATACCATTGGGGTTTCTTAAAGGGAGGAGGGGCTGTGTTTTTATAACTGTTAAAGATGTGAAACTGTAGATTTCATAGGATGGGGAGGGTGGCTGAAGGTTTTATGCGTCCAGCTTGAGGTTTCGAAATTTCAAATTACTGACGTTCATTGAAGTAACGGTTCTTTTCACAATTTGTCGTGGGACACTTAGTACTGCCAATCGCCAGGGCGACAATGTAAAATGCAGCTGCAGAAAGACATTTCGATACCGGTGATGTTTTTTTTATGAATTTAGTGTACGTTTTCATCCGAACATTATCTATATTTATATTGAAAAAATAACACAGTAAAAAGAAAACTCGAATTTCGAACAAGTTTGAGTATCATAAAAAGAAACTTCGATAAACCCCGAGGAGCCAGCGAAAAACACTCCCCGAATTTCACAAAAAAATGAGCTTGAAAACACGTAATCCTATTTATGAAGCACATAGAGAGACCCCAATGTGCCATCCTCTCCATCACCGTTACTAAAAAACATACGGTTGCATATGATGTATAGGCACCGGTCAGCTGAGAGTGGTGTTCTTTTTACAGAAGAAATTGTTCACTAATCCGAAAAGAATTTATAAAGTTTGGCTTGTATTTCTGACCGCATCACCGCGTCTTTTTAAATTTCGCATGAGCAACTTAAACATTGTCGTACCTGCGATCGTTCACAGCGGCCACCGGTACTCCGTCTTTGAGCCACCAAAATCTCATCGGAGTGTCGCCTTGTGGTTCACAATCCAGGTGCACCGTACTGCCTCTCTTGGCTGTGCTCGTAGATTCTTTGCTCGCCAGCCGCGGGCTACCTGGTCAGACGTTTGTAGATCGCTTGTAGAATCAAAACATAGCTTCAACCGGATACTGTTCAAATATTTAGCCGATGCATATGTCGCAGGTAATGGGTTTCAGCCATGTTTAGAAGAAAAAACAGACAGACTTTCAAGGGTGTTAATTTGTTTCCCATCCAGCAACCATTTATGATGCTGCACTAAGAAAGTTAACATCACAGATCCAGAAAAGCTAGTTATTACCGTTAAACACTTTAAATAAATTTTATGTGTTCTTATTTCCACCAAAAAAAAACCGCTAAAGTTTATCCAAGCCGTCTTCGTTAATACATATTTAATACGGTATACTGTATACGCAGAAAATATGCTCATTTAGTTAACTTTAAAAATAAAAATACGTTCCCGCAGAAAATGCAGTTTATCCTACTCTAATAATATGAGAAAAGGTATTGTCGTACCACTTATCCTATACCATATGGGAGCAAAAATAGAATTAACAATATAATGCAAAGTTATTATTTCTACACAAAGCCCCCTCCTGTCGGCGTTAATAGTCAAGTCTACATACCGCTCTCTAAAGCGCATTTGAAATAGCCCTTACCAAAATTAAATTGGAGCCTTTGACGGATTACATCGCAATGGCGGCTTTGTGCTTTCCGTTCGGCAAGAATTGTTTCGTAATGTATTCAACTGCGTGCAGTCTAAAGACCCTAGATATGTATGAGTGACGAAAGGGCATGGGTCTCCCAGATACCTGTTTCAATGTTGCAAGAGGTGCGCAAATCATATATCTAAAAAAGGCACACAAATTTCTGCTTAAAACGATAGTTCGACAGTGGTTTTTGAAGAAAATATTTACTGTAGAAAATCGCGAATATACTTTCCAAGATAGCATAAGATGAGATCAAAACGTACCGATACCCATTTTGTAGCGTAAAAAGAAAGGTAGTCATAGTGAAGTGCACACAGCAGTCGAGGAAAGGTACCTCCGTGTCTAATCATGTCAAAAGGCGTCGTTTTGTGAACATTTGGGGCTGCACTAGACGCGTTTCTGTGACCACCTGCACGACTATTGGCGATTTTCAAAGCGAGAACAAACATCAATTTTGCGTCGAACTCGACAACTAAAACCATTCTGAAGTCTTATGTCAAAGACAAGTGAATTGTACGAAGTGTTTTGGTTTGCACTCACGCTTCAAGAACGACTGAACATCAGTGGAAGTCGAAGAAATATAGGGTGATTTTCTCCGACCCGGCTTTCTCTTCCATTCATGTTCTGTCTTTCTTGAAACGCGAGTGTCACTAAAACACTTCGCGGAATTCACTGATTTTTGGCATAAGCCTGCTGAATAATTTCGAATATCAGTGTTATAGATCTGGCGAATTTCACACAGAACTCCTAATCGCTGGCGCTCTTGTTTGCAGTATATGTTGAAATCGCCGTTCTGCTCGTTCAATTGGACACAAAAAACATCACGTAGTGCAGTTCCAAACAATTCATAAAATAACGCTATTTATGCATAACTACGCAGAAAGGTCCCTATCCTCGAGTGCAGCGCACGCATCACAGTCCTTCTCTCTTTTTTCACGCTACAGAAGCAGTCTGAGAACTTTATGAGCGCTCCTTGTATGCATGCAGTATATGTGTAAAAAAAATTCCTCGGTTGTAGGAAATAGTGTAAAAGAGTCGCACAAGTTCCTGTCTTCGTCCAATTTTTGAAAGTCTTTATGCCCACGTGTTTTAGTAATAAAATAATTACAACGCGCCTACTAAATACGAACATAAAAGTGGAGCACTCGAGAACGACAACAATGCCACCGGAGGGGCCATCCTTAGATCAGGCGCCCGTCATACCGGCGGCAAAAAGAACCTCTTTTGTCGAAAGCCGGAAGGTAGCAAGATCAACTGTTGTCAACATGCGTGTATCCAACGTTGGAAGTCGTAGTACGTTTGTCTGATATTGTTGACAGTCGCTCGCCTCGGGCGGCGTTTTTTGAGCTAACTTTTCTACATACAGTCGGCTAAGACCATACTCCCCAAAAACTTGGGTTGACTAAGAAGTTCTGCAAGCGCTATAACTGTTCGAACCTTACGATTTAGTGTGGTTCCTCTGGCCGATGTTGATGGCCTGACCATGGATCCAAGCAATACAAAAAGCTATCAATAACGGCTATCTACAGCCCTGTAGCATAATGAGCGCCTATAGTCGGTTACAAGAATGTGCGAAGTGAGCGAAACTTTGTACCAGCCACGGCGTCGTATCGCTTCGTGAAACAACCACAAAATGCTGTAGCAACTACAAGGTAGGTGACGTGTGGTAAAGTAAAAAAAAAAAGACACTGGATCGGCGTAAAGCTCCCGAGGGTGGAGCACTACGCTGCTGCGCCTAATAAAATGAAGTGCCCTGCCTCTATTGTGCTTCATGCGGTTGAGCATCATGCCGCAATATCCAGAGACGTACTGCGACGTGCGCTTCGGTAGCGCACTATTTAAGCATTGCAGAGGAAGGGTGGCTGCAGCTAACGACCCACCAGGATTTCTGAAAGGCCTGAACGCATACTCCAAATATATTTCAGGGGTTTGAGATGCCCGTCGATGTTTTTCGAATGGGCGTGACGTATCCTTCACGAATATCTAAGGGCTGTAATAGACCTACCATAATTTTTAGAGGCCTGTGGTGCCCATCCAACTCTTTCGTGGGAAAGCACGTGACTTATCAAGATGACCTTTTACTGGTCTGTGGGAGAGATCACGGGAAATTTCAAGATTTACGCCTCGGGGAAGCCGGTTGGCCGATTTGTATCAGGCGGCCGTAACGAGCCTACACTCAGCGTTGGCTTCTTGTTCCGTCCATGGACCTATCTTCTAGAGCACTTCAGTGTCCAGACAAAAGAGAATGTTCGTCCATCTGGCTTCAAATGCTCATCCAGCGAGCGAAGAAGGCGCCGGAGAGCCACCACGACGGCACTAGGGACGATACAATGGTCGTGCACAAAATTTTGTGAATGGTGGCGGATGTTAGGTTCGTGGCCTTGGATGTTTCAAAGCATGCTACTGATAGTTTGTATGAGTGCGTGTGGTGCGCCTACTCAGTTTTATTTGTTGAACTACCGCACCTCTCAGGAGCGTACCCAGCGGCATTGTGAGTCCCTAGAAATATATTTTTTGCGACAAAGAACTCGGGTGTTCCTATCGTGTATGACCCCTTTTGTTTAAAGATACTTACGCTCGGGTTATAATACACGTTGGTTCTTATCGTAAGCTTGAGTTACAACATTCACAAAAAAAACTTAACATGAAATAGTTTCAGTAACTTTTTAAACTGCGTTTTGTTTATGGTGCTGTCATTTGGGCAACAAAAAAGTGAAGTGATGTGGGGGTCCGAAAGGCTGAAGACCTGAAGAATTTGAAAGGATGAAGGGGCTTGAAGGGCTGAGAGGGGTCTTATAACTCGTCAGGGGTGCAGGTTTATTTTTGATAGCAAGGAGCTTCTGCTGCGTTGTGAACTTGTATCTGACTCTAGAAGGGAAGGTCGCGATCACTTGTTTCAACTAGCAGCTAAGACCGGTTCCACTCTTCACGCGTCCCTATTATCATTGTACATTTTTTAAGCTAGCAGCAGCGCAACAATGACAAAAAGAAGGGAAGTTATTTTAAAATCTGTTTTAAATAAAATGGAGCAGGCGCACAGCCTAAACATATAGTTATTCGTGCTCCTATTTACGGCTGAACAATACCGCTGCGGAGTGTGCTAAAATGCTTAACGACCATTTTTTAGCATTCTCTTCTTTTCAAAGTAAGGAGTGCAAGGTGGCGCAGCGTTTAGCACACTGATTAGGCTGCGCTTCAGAGGCACAAATTATGGGACCACTGACCCCCCTGCGATTATCACACCTCCGCTTCGTGCACACGACAACACCTCTGTTTGGAATGTCGGTGAAGAATAGCCCTATATTTATAGCTGCCAGTCTCGCAACCTACAAAGATTACTTATAGCTGTAAAGGGCCTTTAAACGGACCGCACAATATACTTTTCCTTTGTAATATGAGCAAATACCCGGCAGAAATTATCCTTATTATTCCTTACATACAAAGCATGAAACCGCTTTGTTTTCCTCAACGAAGCTGCAGTCAGGACAAAAACAAATAAAACGAGCAGAGTTTACCCCAACATCCAGAAAATTGATCACATTATCTACCCACACCAATCATAGCCATTCGCTCGGGTTGCTCAAAGGAGCTGCGCAACGATTTTAACGTTGAAAGAATTCGCATCTTCTACTTTTGACATTGTTTATCTTGTGACAACGGACAGGAAACACATCTCCTTCCTTCAAAATGTTGCGATTCCGCCACGTAATCGCGAGGAAAAATTAGAATATTTTCCGACCTGCAGCCGCGAGTGGCGGCCATGAGGACCAAGCGGTATGACATCAATGGGGGACTTGTACAAATATAGGAATTTGCGCAAATATCTGCTCGATAAAGGGTAATTTTTATATAAATCTTGTCGATCCAACATATATATATATAAATGTGTCAAAAACTTAGTATCACCGATAAAAGTTTTCTTATACGAAGTTTTAGTGACGCCATCTGTCCGAGGTCAACAAAACCGTCAGCTTTATCTCCTACCGCAAACAGCCGCCAGAAGCCTGAGAGGGACGGGGGCAGAGCCGGACGGGGATGGCCGGACCCAAATGAGACTTTCCTCCTTTCACCCTGTTGATCAGGCTGCGCAAGCACGTGATTACGTGGTCGCGAGCGGGTGAGTTCTCGCTGCTCACTGATGGCTCTGAAAGAGAGCTTCACCTGACCCCGCGCGTCCCCCATTGACTGCATAGCTCACGTGACACGGAAGATGGGGAAAGAGTTGAGAAGTGCTGAAAACCTGAATCTTTGTCTATTTTAAAAATAAAAACTAGGACATGCAGGCAAGAGCGGTATCTTGTTCTTTACTTCAGCAAGGTCGAGACACCTACTCTCAAATTATTTAAGCAAAGCACTGAAATTGTTACACGGGGCATTAAAGCGCGGACATGCGATAAGCTTTATATTCGCGACGTGAAAGTTTTCAGAGGCGTTGATTTGCCTAGAGACCAAGAGACTTCACGCGTAGTGCTCCTGTCCAATCTTTGACTTGCGTCACTATGTGGTACTCTCATGAATATGTCAACACTGCGGTACTCAAGATTACATCATCGAGTTTCGCGAAGGAAACGCAAAGAAGGCCGCTATTAGTCTTGAAAATGCACAGCGCCAAAGAAGCTTCTTGTTCAAACAAGTCGCTTGCAAGTACACCTGATTAATCTTTCTGCATGTAAGGTTGTGTAAAGCGAGAATCATTTAAACAAAAATCGTTGCAACTCTTTTTTATACCTTTATAAACAAACTGGGTTGAATAAATAATTTAAGGCTGACACTACTCTGCAACCAACAGCTAGAAAAAAATGGCAATGTTTCTTTGGCGCTCACTTCTGACGGTGATTCGGACCACCTTGGAGAGTTCGGCTCCGACGCCGTTGGACGCCTCGCAGAGGTACAGGCCAGCGTCCCTTGTCTCAATGCTCCGAACGCTCAGCGAACCGTTCACGAGGATGTGCACCCGGGAACTGCTCACCATGGCTCGGTAGGGTCCCGGCTCCCAACCTTGGGGGAGCATGAAATATGATCAATGTTTTGAGCGATCGTATGTTACGCAGTTAAGCCACATTGGATATGGTCTAATGAGAAGAAATATCCACATGCATTAACACAGCCACCTCTACTTGGGGAAAGCCTGAAAGTTCAGCACCAGGACATCCCACGTGGCCGCCGTAAAGAGGGGAGAAAAACGTGAGACAACACACACAGCGCTAGGGGAGGTGCGGCGATAAAATACGAAGCTAAACGCCTCGCTATGACACACGACCACATGACAACAATCGCGGGCTTTAACACACAGGGCGCTTCTCAAAACCGCAATTGTGGATTCGTGTCCCTGTCCGACTTAGTAAAAACAAATGGAGGAGCCAGAGTATCGCCTACGTTTTCCTTTAGCAACCAACTCCTTATTGGCGGAGGAAGGGTCATGAGAGCCATATTTGACTACAGTGCTTCAGGAAAAGCGGTCTTTTAAAGCGCCGGCTTTGGGGCGGGACATTATATTCGCATTGCGTTCACGAAATTCGGAGGGCACGGCGGGACCGCAATGGCAACAACGCTAAGCCCGTCTATCTTCTTTGTTCAGGTCACGCTGTGTGTTCTGACTCACCACGTGCCGACCCCACCCAAGAATGAAGTCAGCATCTTGAACCCGCCGGCAGTGAGCATCAACTGCGCACACCCCGGAGCGCACCATGAAACGTCACCAACACATCACGGTTTGAAGACGGCGCCGCCAGTGGAGGCATATAAAGAGGATCGCGCCATGGAATTCCTCAGAGGGCACGGCGGGACCGCAATGGCAACAACGCTAAGCCCGTCTATCTTCTTTGTTCAGGTTTGTGACAAACATGCTTCTTGCTTTCGAAGCAATTATAGATGTATTGTTGTCCTGCCGTGCCCGGCCACAATTGAGTGTCTTATTGTGGATGCATGGAGTGTCATTTTGATCCTTCTATCTGGAGATGTCGAGCAAAACCCTGGGCCTCAAGGGATAGAGGAACTGAAAGTGATGATGAACGCCATGCTTACTTCGCAGAACGACCTTAAAACGCGAATTGTTAACCTGGCGGCTTCCCAGGAAAAGCTAGAATCAACAGTGAACGCTAGGATGAACGAAGTTATGACAGCTTTACAGGAGCACAAGGGAGAGATTCTTGTATTGCAGGGGGAAGTCACATCCTTTAGAAATGACCTCCAGCTCCAACAAAAGCGCCTCGACGACTTAGAGAATAGGAGTAGACGCCGCAACCTTGTCATTTTCGGGTTTCCTGAGCCCGACCGTGAAAACACCGAAGCATTAAGAAGCCAAATAATCCAGGACTTAATAGGACAGAAGCTTGGAGTAACTGTTAGCTCGGTGGAAAGAGTCCACAGGATAGGAAAAAAACAACCAGACAAACCGCGGCCTGTGATAATAAACTTCTTTGACTATAACGAAAAACTGAAAGTACTAAAAAATTGTAATAAATTAAAAGGAACTACAATCTCAATCAACCACGACTTTTGTAAGGGTACACTTGCCAAAAGAAGCAAACTTTGGTCCAAATCTGGGGACTTCAAAGCCAGAGGACGTAAGGTAGTGCTGGACTATGATAAACTACGGGTTGATGACGACCTATATGAATGGGACGAGCAGAATGACTGCCTGAAGTGCATCCGCTCTCAGGAGCGACGGAATGACGTCGACTGACTTGAATCGAAACAGTTACGTTTTGTACTACTAAATGCCAGAAGTATCGTCAATAAAGTCCACCAGCTCGAAGAAATTATACTTACATATAATCCGCAGATAATTGCAATCACGGAAACATGGTTATCAGCAGATATACTTGATGCCGAAGTTACTCCCCCCACTCACAAAATAATCAGACGTGATCGTGGCTCTCGAGGAGGGGGAGTTGCCTTGATAGTAAAAAAGGAAATCTCATGCGTCATCTTAAGCGAAATAACCGACAATGAAAGTGTATGGTTTCAAATCGACTATTATGGGTTTTCGACTCTCGTAGGTGTTGTCTATAGGCCCCCATCTTCTCCCGAGTCATTTCTAGAGAATATTCAACTTCACATGAAACAAATATACAAACCCATTCAAAAAATCATACTGGCGGGTGATTTTAATCTACCGTCAATTAACTGGTCGACTTTCCAGCCTGGCTCAACTGAAGAAAAAAGCTGCCACTTGCTACTCGAATTAATGCTCAATTTTAATCTAAGTCAGCTTGTTACTGAAGGTACTCGTATCTCCCAAAATAGCAATAACACACTGGACCTAATTTTTGTTGGAAACTTTCCAGAGGACACTGAGGTTAAGGTTTACGATGGAATTTCTGACCACAAGCTTGTTTTCCTTACGACTAATTTTTGCCCAGTAAAAAAGAGTCACGATGGTAAACTTGTCTTTAACTTCGCTGCTGCAGATGACGAAGCTATTATTGATACTCTTGATTTGAACTTCAGCGACTTTGAGACGGAGGGTGACATTACAACATTATGGAATGCCTTTAAACATATTACTGGAAAGTGCCTTCATAAATATGTACCAAAAATAGTAAAAAAGAAACATCAGAACCCCTGGATAACAAGAGAGATAATACATCTTAAAAGGACATTATCTAGGAAACGGAGAGGAAATCGTAAAAATGCTGATGTCATATCTTCCCTCACAGAGACGTTGAAACAAAAAATAAAGACGGCGCGTGATCATTTTTTTGGAACAACGTTAGTAAACTTTATGAAAGAAGCGCCTCAAAAGTTTTGGGGGTACCTGTCGGGCAACAAGAAATCTATTGAACAGCTTCATGTGGATGGAAATGCTGTTAATGACTCCTACCAAATTGCGAACGAGTTTAACAGCACCTTTCATGGTGTTTTTAGTTCAAGATGCACTTCTGAAGAAACTATTGACTCAGTACCTCTTTTCCCAATAATGCGAGATATAGACTTGAACATCCACGGTATACGTCATCTACTTTTAAACCTAGATGTAAAAAAATCATGTGGTCCTGATGGCATCCCAAATGCTCTTTTGAAACGTTACGCAGAGATGATTTCACAATATTTATATGTCATTTTCAAAACCTCTTTGGATCAGGGATGTCTTCCACCTGACTGGCTTTGTGGAAAAGTTGTACCCGTACATAAGGATGGGAGCAAACTGCTTGCTGAAAATTACAGACCGATATCATTAATTAGCACCTGCTGTAAATTGCTAGAACACGTCATCGCCAGTCACATAAGTTTTTTTCTAGATAGCCATAACATATTAGCCAACTTTCAGCACGGGTTCAGAAAAAGATTGTCTACTACTACTCAACTGCTCTCAGTAGTACACGATTTCGGCCATGCGATTAATAACAGAGAACAAATTGATGCAATAGTTTTAGACCTATCCAAGGCCTTTGACAGGGTACCGCATCACCTACTACTAATAAAATTGCAACAGGTTGGCATTGCTCCTCGCCTTGTGACATGGATCGCTGCTTACTTAAAAAATAGGGTACAATTTGTTGAAATCAACGGATGTCAATCAGTACATCTTGACGTGCTATCTGGCGTTCCACAGGGGTCGGTCTTAGGACCTCTCTTATTTTTAGTTTATGTCAAGGACATAGCCGACAACACTGATACAAGTGTGACCGTGAAAATGTTTGCTGACGACTGCGTTGTTTATAGAACTGTCAGAAACACGTGCGATCAAGTATCGCTTAACGAAAACTTTTGCAAAATTGCCGAATGGTGTGAGAGGTGGCGAATGGTTATTAATTACTCTAAAACGTGCGCTCTCACAGTAACGCACAAGAAATACCCTCTTAGCTTTGCATACCACGTTAAAGACAAATGCATAAAAACTGTAAACGAGGTAAAGTATCTGGGCCTACATCTTAATTCAAAATTAAATTGGGAAACCCATATAGATAGTACAACCGCAAAGGCTTACAAAAAGTTGTGTTACTTAAGACGGAAGCTGGGACCATGTGACTCGTCGGTAAAACTTTCGGCATATAAAAGTTTGATTCGGCCAGTGCTAGAATACGCGTCCATTGTGTGGGACCCGTACTTAATAAAAGATATTGGAAAAGTCGAGAGAATCCAGCTCCTCAGTGCACGATTTATTTCTTCCAATTTTAGGCGCCTATCATCAGTGTCGGACATGATACGTAATTGCGGACTCGAATCGCTCGAGTCTAGGCGGAAGATTGCTAGGCTGGGTTTTTTTTTATAAAGTCTACAATAATGAGTCCGGCCTGGACAAAACCTTATACCTTTTGCCACCTCCCCAGCGCTCTGCAAGATTGAATCACGCAAAAAATGTGAGACCATATGCTCCTAAAAATAACACGTTTAAATACTCCTTTTTTGTACGTACGATTAACGACTGGAATTCACTGCCCTCCGATTGTGTGCATGCCCCAAATATTGACTGTTTTGACTGTTGTGTTCGAAACCTTATGTAACCGATTGTGTGCATGACCCAAATGTTGACTGTTCTGACTGCTCTGTTTGAAACCGTATGTAACCCTTTCCTGCTTGGATGGGGAAAAACCATCTGCAGTATTTTATAAATAAAAAAAAATAAAAAATTTAACTAAGTCTGATTAAGTGGTAGCATCTTGAACAATCGGACACTCTGTGTGCCACCTAGACATGTGTAAATGCGTTCGTTTTAAAACGCATGTTCTCTTTCAAAGTGGACTTGTACAAGACGACAACACGAGAAACCAAGGACGCAACGCGCTTGCGCTTCCAGGGGACTCAGCAGGCGCAAGACAGCGCATGTGCGGTGAACCGCCGCCTCATGTCGTAGCACCTGGTGGCTTCTCTGAAGGATCGGAAGTCGCTTCTCCCGCAACACATAGAGTTCAATATTTAAGACTGTTACGATACCCTGCTACGCAAGCATATATAGCCTTTTTTCCGTGACAGGTGCTACATTGAAATATAACGTAGAGGAGTTTAGCGCAAAATCGAAAGTAAATAGCTTAACGCCATAACTACAATACGAA